AGATGCCTTTGTCGCAAGAGCCCGCCAAATAACGAAGCACCCGTTTGATGACAGACCAATGGGCCGTTCTGGGGTGGTGCATGAACTGCGTAAGTTTGTTGGTGCTAAAGGCGATTTTCGGGCGAGTAATACTTAAGTATTGAAGACTTCCCACAAGTGCGCAATACTCAGTTGGGGACGGTAGGAGATCACCAGAATCCTTAAGTAATTGAGCACTGGCGGACAAGGGAGTGGATGTTGATTTGGTGTTAGCCATGCTTGATTTATGTAGTAGATCAGTGATGTATTTCCTTTGTGAAAGAAAGAGTCCTGTAGCGGAAGGAATTACTTTGACGCCCAAGAAATAGGTAAGACATCCAAGGTCTTTCAGCGAAAATCGAGCAGCGAGTATGGAAATAAGGTTGGACAGCTCTGTAGAGGAACTCCCAGTGACAATGATATCATCAACATATACTAATAAATATAGTGTGGAACCTGATATTTAGTAGATGAAGAGAGGCATCTGCAGTTGAATTGACAAAGCCAAGAGAAAGGAGAAACGCGCGAAGCTCCGTATACCAGGCGCGGGGTGCTTGCTTTAGCCCATAGATTACCTTTTTGAGGCAGCAAACATGATCAGGGAAACTTTTGTTGACAAAACCAAGGGGCTGGAGCATAAATACGGCCTCTTTGAGCGTCCTTTGAAGAAAGGCATTGTTGACATCAAGTTGGCAGATGGACCATCCTTGATGAACTGCAAGTGTGAGGACAATGCGAATAGTGACCGGTTTAACAACCGGACTGAATGTCTCTGTATAGTCCCAACCAGGGCGTTGGTGAAAACCTTTGGCGACTAGTTGAGCCTTATATCGATCAATCGAGCCATCCGGGTGTCGTTTGATTTGAAAAAGCCATTTGCAGCCAACCAAGTTTTGAGCAGAGGACCGACTGACAAGTTCCCAAGTGCTGTTGCGGTGTAAGGCGTCAAACTCAGCTTGCATAACTGAGCGCCAATCAGGGTCGCAAAGAGCTTGGGTGATGGTGCTAGGTTCGAGTGGAAGAGAGGGTTGGACATGGAGGTTAAGCTTCTTGAGGGGTTTGACAATGTTGTTTTTAGATCGGGTGATGATGTCACCCCCATCGGGTTGGGGTTGCCTGTGAAGGTTGACAGCGGGTTGAGATGGTGGCACAAAACATTGTGGGAATGGTGAGGGAAGGGACTCAGAGTGGCCAGTGGAGGGTAGGGCCAAGGTCGGGGAGGGTGGGGCTGAGACCTCCTCCGGTGGGTTTAGAGTGGTACTGACCATGGGTTGGTTTATGGGATGGAGTATGGAGAGCTGAAGTGGGCCTTGTTGTTGCTCTGCACTCAAACTGGCTTGAGGGACTAGGGAGCTGTACGGGAATTCAAATTCAATGAACTTGACATGGCGAGAGGTGTAAATCCTTCCAGTGGTTGGATCGAGACACAAGTATGCATGTTGATCAGCTGAGTAACCTACAAAAACACACATAGCAGACTTTGGTGCAAGTTTATGGTTAGCATATGGTTTAATCCAGGGAAAACACAAACAACCAAAACACTTTAACTTATGATAATCCGGGCTGATTTTGAGTAATTTGGATTAGGGTGACTGGTACCCAAGAATTGGTGTTGGGAGCCGATTGATGAGATAGGCGGCTGTTGTCATGGCATGAGGCCAATATGTGAGGGGCAAACCCAAGTGATGGAGAAGAGAGAGACTGGTTTCGGCAATGTGCCGATTCTAGCGTTCAGAAATTCCATTGTGTTCAGGTGTATGAGGTGGGGTGGTGTGATGACTTATGCCATGAGTACTTAAAAAGGGACAAAGACCAATATATTCGCCACCATTATCCGTGTAAAGAATTTTGATGTTGTGATGAAAGAAATTTTCAACAAGGGATTTAAATTCAGGAACAGAGTTTACACATCAGATTTGCGTTTTATCGGATATAGCCAAATATAGCGAGTAAAATGATCAACAAACATACAATAGTAGCGAAGACCATCAATTGATAAAACAGGGGAAGTCCATACATCAGAGAAAATTATTTCCAAAGGATAAGATGATTTGAGAGTGGATTCATGGAAAGGAAGTTTATGACTTTTGCTAATTTGACATGAGTTACAATCTGATTGCTGGAATTTATTTGAACCCAAAGAAAAATGATGCTGAATAAATGTGAAGATAGAAGAGGAGGGATGCCCAAGTTTATGGTGCCATGAAGCAGAGGAGTCTGTGTGGGCAGAGTGGACGGACGGGGAGTTAGCTGGCCAGAGATAGAGTCCATCCACACATGAGCCTTTATGGGTTGTTTGACCCGTCTGCAAGTTCTTCACATGAAAAGAGGTTGGCAAGAAAACAACAGCAGAGTTAGTTTGTTTGGTAAGCTGAGAGACAGAAAGGATTTTCTGTTGCATGGAAGGAACGCACAAAGTATTTGAGAGGGATAAATCATTAAGTAAAAGTGTTCCAGAATGAGAGATGTTTAAACCTGAACCGTTACCCATAAACAGTGAGTCTGGACCCGTGTACGGATGATGAAGAGCTAGATTGGCAAGATCATTGGTGACGTGATGCGTCGCACCACTGTCAACCAGAAAATTAGGTTGGGATGTGCCAGCAGTTGCAGTATGGACTTGAACCTGTCCAGGGTTAGCAGAAGAGTAACGAGGAGGCAGCGGGACACTAGGGTGCTGCTGCTTAAAGGTGTGACACTGAAACAGAACATGACCCTTGACATTGCACCACTGACAGCGACCAAGAAACGGTTTGCGATTGCCAGGGCGTGAAGTGGATGATGCAGAAAATTGCCCAGACCGAGTTTTTTAGAGTGGTTGGGTCGAGCTTGTGCATTCAAGGCTGTCATGGGAGCAGGAAGCTGCCGTTGAGCAGCAACAAGGGAGAGTTCTTGAATGAGAAGCTTCTTGAGGAGGTCATAAAAAAGAATGGCAGTGTCCCTTGCATTGACGCCATCAATGACAGCTCTGTAGCCGTCGTCGAGGCCACACAAGACATGGTCAGTCATGTCTTCAACAGAGACAGGAGAGCCAAGTAAGGCAAGGAGATCTGCAGTTTGCTTCAGAGAATGCATGTAGGTGGTGATGGATTGGGTACCTTTGGACGCCGTGTGGAGACACTCTTTTAACTGTTTGAGGTGGCTGCGGGATTCCTTGGCATAGGTGCGTTGGAGAAGAGTCCAGAGATCATGTGATGTCTTTGTTTGAGACACCAGGGATGCCACTTCAAGGGAGAGTGTGGTGAGGAGAGCACCGTATATAAGACGGTCCTATCGACGCCAGGTTTGATAAGCAGGATTTGGAGTTGTCATCGAAGGTTCCGTGGTGGAGACCGTTGTCGCCGGCGCAGGAAAGGATCCATCTGGATATTTGAGAAGATCATAGCCATCGAGGAGAGCTTCAACTTGAAGTTTCTAGGTGAGGTAGTTGGAGGGAAGAAGCTTGGTGACACTGCTGAGGGTGATGCAAGTGAAGGGTTTTGATGGCTCATAAGGGTTACTAATAGAGGAAGAGTTATCATTGGCCATGGGAGGCAAAAAAAGAAAGGAAGGAGCGGCATCCTGTGTTGGAAAAAAAAGGAAAAAAGGATCATGTATTAGGCTGATACCATATAGGAAAATGTTTAAAATGAATTATATATTCTACTTTTGTCATTGGGTTACAGTAGTATAAATATACAAATTGATAACGTATATTGGAAAGAGTCACAGAAACAAACTCCACCAGTTTAGCACTAACAGTTAGCCTAAATAAAGGGAAAATAGATATGCAAAAGCTGGCTAATAAAAATTAATTATTATAATTTAAAAACTAATTATTATAATTGATACTCTCAACCATCCGAGAGGAGCTGAAAGAGGAAGAAAGAGTTGGAAAAAATACTAAGGAATCAACGACATCAAAGAGATAAGTAACATCAAAGAACAATAGATTCAGGTTAGTGCTCTCTAAACCCTTAATTGTATGAGAATCATATATTATATTGTGAGAGCAACGTAATTCAAGATCTCAAAGAGAAAATGTAATTTCATAATAGTCATTGCATAATAGAAATTTACATAATAGATTAAAAAAAATTCTAATATGTGAATGATTATAATCTATAGTAGAGTCAATTTCAAATTTTTAAATAATAACTAATTATATTGTATGCAACATATATGCAATAACATATGCAATTACACTTACAACAACACACACAAAATAATGAACCTAAGACTAAGAGTTTAGGAAAGCATAAAAAAAAACTATAATTACCAACTAACAAACATAAGAAGAAATCCAAATACTATAAAATAGAGAACATACACGTGTGTTGCAGTCCAAGAGCAACAAATATTTTAGTAATAAGAGTGTATTTTGGGTTAAATACCTTTGTCTAGGAAAAGCAAAAATATTTATTTCTTATCAGCCTCAATTGTTGCAATGACAAAATCAAGACTAACCAAAGGTCATTTATGGATAAAAGAACGAGGTTTTCCTTTTTATATTTTCTTAACAACTTTAAACTTTTTATTTCAATTTTTTTTCATTTTTGGTTTTTCATGTAATAATGATCTGTTAGATAATATACTAGCATGGAGTTAACATACTAAATAGGCATTTCTATTAGTAAATATTAAAGGTTCAAAGTTAAGGAATAAAGTGATAATTTCCTCACTAGCTGATATAACTTGATCATTAAAAATATATTTAAAGTTAAGTTTTAAAATAAAATAAAGAAAAGATAAGTTTCTTTTAAGTATTCTTTAATTTAATGTTTTCAAAATAAAAGAAATAAAATGAACTTCATTTTTTTTTATTTTTACAAATATTACTAATTCTTTTAATTTTAAAGTAAAATATTTGTTCTCCCTTTTTTTTCCACTAAAATCTAACTCTCTCAAACTTAGAGTGAATATCTATACTACAAAAGCAATTGCATAAAATATATATACAGATGCATGTGCGTTCTCATAGTCAATTATCTTTGGTGGTTTGATCATTCGGGTCTGTGCTGATTCCCAGGTACTGTGAAAGCAGAGTTAGTTCCTGCTCCTTGCTTTTCTAGATGATGAAGGAGTGGGTCTCTCTCTGACGTTGAAAGGCAACTGATAGCTTTGCACAAGATTGTGTACTTAGCAACTAAATCCTTATATTGACTTAATAACATGTCCACATCTTCAATTGCTAGCTCTTCACTCTTTGCTTCCATGTACGGATAGTTTGATCCATCTTGCACAACTTGAAAAACTGTAACGTGTTACTGTGATTATGTCAGAGTCTGGTAGCTCCAGCAGCAAATAATCAACAACTACTGTAATACTAGAGACTTGATATACTTAAGAGCTTTGTTTTATTGTTTGCTGAATGAAACACGGTTTTCAAAATGAAATAAATGATTAATAGCATTGACATGTTTGGTTTCACATTAAAACTTAAAATGCATGTACATCTATGTTCTAACGTGTTTCCTAAGTGAGTGAGCACGGTTATAAAGCATATTATATGGTTGTGCTTCTTTTTCAATTCTAGCAAAATTGGTTTTGTGATTGTTTTTCCAACGGAGCCTTAGAAGTACAGACGCTTCAAAATTGTAGCCATGTCGAGTCATACCCATGCAGACTTGTATCAATGTTGGACACTATGGACTAAAGACACTTCCAATACTCTTAACTATATTTTAAAATTTCTTTAGATCTTTTATAGCATTTTGTTATGTTTACAATGATTCGTGCTTATTTTTAAATCATTAATTCTTTCTTTTGGTTCAAGATTTGTGTCTTCTGTTAATTTTACGTTAATTTCATATATTATAGATGTATGCTGTCTTTTGATTTTTAGAATGTCACATTTCTGTGTCTATACGTAATGTACGTGTCCCATGTGGTATCGGTTTTTCTAGCTTAACAGAATTAGTAGGAATTAGGATGCAGAGTACTTTGCTTGTTGAGGAAACAAGTAAAACTAACCTTCAGTATCATCAAGTTTTCTGCGAATTTTCTTTGAACAACTGCAATTCCCATGCTGGCTCATTTGACATGTAGAAGACAATTCATTTGTGACTTTATTGGTCAATTTAGCTGCTTGCATGTTCTCCTCAAATATGATGTCGTCCATTGAGAGGGATTTAGCATTTAAGTCAGCTATAAATGTTTTAGCTGACACAAGATTTGTGAAATAATATTCAGCTTCTGAGAAGAGTTTTGCTTGCCTTCTGTACAACTTGATGAATTTGAGGTTAGAATGCAACTTTGGAGGATTTGCCTGAAAGTGATAAACCAAAAGAAAGAAATTAAAATCAGTGTCAAAGGGTTGTGTAATGTGGATCCTAGAGGCATAAAATCAATAAAAGGAGAAGCTAATCTTTTATAGGCACAAGACAATATTGCTTGCATCATGATGCGGCTTTACGTGCAAGTCAAATTGAAATTACAATGCAATGATATTTTTTATTAGAAAATAAAAAATTATATTGCATAAGTTATCTAAATAGAGCCTTTTAAGTTGGGCTCAAGCATGAATTATTCATAATCAAGTTAGTGTAGGGTAAGCTATGGCTCAAACCAAGAACTCTACTATCTCTCCTCATAAGTTCTGTCTTCTACATATCTACTTTGACTTCAAATAATTTAGCAAACAAAAAAAATATTTGATAATAGTGGAAACCAAGCATGCTTTATACTCTTCATACTGTAAACAAAAAGAGGGGTCTCATTGTCCAAAACTATATTTCACATTCAGCAAAATGTCTTATTACCAAGGAGGGCTTGCCTTGATGGTAACATATATGAGCACAGGGAGAAAGTCGTCTGCCCCAGCTGGCACATGCTCAGACACTGCAGCATTGAGCAACAGATTGTTGATGACCCTGCAGCAATTCATAATGCTCAAGAGTTTCTCATGGGGAGCTTTGAAAGCATTGATTTTCAGCAATTCTTTCTCTGCAAGCTGAATTCAAAAGGAATATGAATCAAGAAATTCTGCAATACTTCTTATATATAGTTCTTATTGATAGAAAACCTGAAAGCCTTTTATCTATATATTTGAAATTTTCTTTTTACTCTTACAATTTAAAATCCTTATTTTTTCCCTATATTTCTAAACACCTTTGTATGTCTTCTTGTAATTTCAGATATGGTGCTGAGGATTTCTCATGAACTAACTATCCTAAAGTTTAGTTTATTAGGTGTAGACAGAGAGATAATTTTGTACTACATTTCTAACGTGCCCTTCATGCAAGAGTTCTTTGAGCTTAAAACATCGACAATCCACAAGCTTACTTACCTAGTGTTGTGATTTTTATTTTTCATAAGAAGAATGAGAGTTCCAAGATCAAATTCTAGATCACTTGGTTACAGAGGCTTTAATATAAGATGAGGAAGTAAATACCTCAAAAGCTTAAGTTATTAAATTAAAACACCAGAGTAATTTTATATTACTCCTTTAACAGGTCAATATAAAAGACAAGTGAAAGAAATTTTCTTTCCGAAAATGAGAAAAGTGTTTGTTCTTCCTTCTTCTCTGCTCTGCAAGTGCTCTACAATTGACAGAATAAAATTATCCCCACAAACTTTTTATTTTTCAGGCTTTAACACTGCTAATAAGCAGTTTCCGCAAGTTCTTTGTACTTGTAGTAAAATTACATACTTAAATATGTTTTTGGTTCCTATATTTTTGCTGAATTTTTATTTTAGCCCCTAAAAACTTTTCTTAGTTTTAGTTCTTAATTTTTCTAAATTCAACACTTGTGGAAGTAAGAGGTCGTCATATATTGATTTTTTATTGCATCATGGCACGGGAAGCGATCAAAAGTGCTGAATTTAGAAAAATCAAGAACTAAAAAAAAACAAAAACTTAAGTAAAATCAAAATCTCACAAAAATGTATGGACTAGAAATATATTTAAGATGATATAATTTCATTAGCAACAGGTAGTAAAAAATACATGGTAAGAAGTAGGATTATTATTGCCCAAGACTCAAAGCCAATGTAATAATAATAACTAGGAAGAAATGAAACTAGGCATCAGAAACAATCAGTTTAAAAATTAATCATGTATTTTGAAGAGGCATACCAGCCATGAGGCTTCATTATGAAGAATTGGTGGTATATCCAAATGTTCAGGCTTCAGAAAGGTTTGGAGTAAGCATATTTTCTCATATAGTTCATTGTCGATCTTTGCATCCTCAGGAGCAGCAGCGAATGTCCGGGAAAACAATTTAGTCATTATATATTTCTCTAAACCCTGCATGTAATACATAATATAGTAACATGATTATGCTAAATTAAAGACATTCCCTCCATAATGAAAGGGAAGCAGAAATATCCTTAAGATATGAAGTAGTGAGCCATAATCAACTTAGACTGTACTACCTTAAGAAGCTACATAATATTCCCATACAAATGTAATTTTGTCTAATCATACATTATCCTTGTTTTCTAGATTTTGTAAGCGATGTTCAACCTTTGGTGTGTTCCATAATGAATAGAGACGCTGGTTCTTATAATTGTATAGGGTTTGTGTTACAAAAGAGAGAAGAGGGAATAACAATTTTGAACAATGTAATTTAAGTTGACACTATGAAAATAGGATAAATTATATATATATATATATATATAAACTTGATCTAGTTAATAACAAAAATTACTGCATTCAGAACTTCCACACAGAACAGGATATGTATTTATTTGGTGAATGTACCTCTATTGCACAATCAATGTCTTCTTCATTGGCAGTGGCCCAAAGTGGATGATTTCTGATTGCAACTTCCATTGACAGAAAGAAGTCTTGAACTCTTTTTCCATCATTTTCAGGTTTCGGTTGGTAAAACGAAAATGATACTATAAAACTGACAAAATAATTTTCCGTTAGGATTAAAAGGGGCACACAAAAGACAAAACACAATTTAACATAAGCAATTGGCATTAAATATATGGTAATAGGGAAATAAATCAATGCGGTCAAAAGAATAATTGTTTGTCAGGCTAAGCATTATATATGAAAAAAATCAAATGACACAGCACTAAAATTTAGTAAAATGACATATTAAATAACTTTTAATTAAAAATAATTTTTATCAATTTAATTGTCAAATTTCAAAATTTTATTAAGTGTACAAAATTTTATATATATTAAGAATTAATTAATATTTCACCATTTTAATTTATTTTAAAATATAGTATATTATTTAAAACATAACTCCTATTGAATAATATATTTACAGTTGTTTGAGTTGTGGCGTATATATAAAGTGTAAAATTAATACCAGAAGCATAACTGATCTGCTCAAATTCAATAGCAACCAAAAGGTAACACATAATCGATGTTGGTTACTTACAAGAATATTAGATGCCATAAATTATGTTTGTGTACAAATTATTAACTTCTAAATATGTTTTTTTTCCCTGTTGTTTTCCACAATCTCTCTACTTTTCTAACTATATTACTACGTACAAAATTTTACACAAATGGCTTGATTCATTGTGTTTCTTATATACAGACGATTAAGACTAACTTGTCACACAATTATTTTATCAATTCCTTTGATTAAATCAAGTATACTTGTATTACAACAACCTTAAAAGATCAACTTGAGAAGCATGTAAGAATCCGAGGAACAGCTACTACTCTGCTGGAAACCAATTTTAGACTGGCAACAGAACAACGAAAGGCAACATAAGAAAACAAATTAAAAAATAATCAAGATTCAACGGTAACAAAGCTACTCAGACACAAAACAGGACCTATTCTTTCTGTTTCTTTTTATTTTCTATTTATCTATCTACTTAGATGTTCAATACAATATTAACTATGACATGTTCTCTATCTGAAGGCGCAATTGTAACATTTAAATCTTATAATTTTTATTCTTTAATCATTAAGGGAAATGGTTAGTATAACTAATTTATTATACTTTTTAATTTATGGGAAATCATTAAGTGAATGAAGAAAAAAATAATTCTAAATATTAAAACAACAAGTAAGAATAATGAGAAAAAAATTAACAAGAATATTAAAAGAATTGTTGAAAAGAAATCGAGAGAATATTAACATACTTTCCGATACACTTTTATTATTATTATTTTTAAATCATATAATTACGCGAGATTTATTAAGAAATGTAACTTATGTAATTTTGTGTTAACTTAATATTTTTAAAATTTCTTTGTACAATTGTATCTTTTCCTGTAACATGATAAGTTCAAAACATATTAACATGAAAACAGCACTGCTATTAAAATCATTATACAATGAGAAATGCAATGAAACGTGCATAATAATAATAATAAAAAACTTGTTTCTCTTGCCTCCCAATATAATTATGGCAAAACAAGAACAAATGAATGCATAACAAAGTCAAAGATACCATCAAACATTGAAATTCATTGGCAGAATGATAAAAGGAAAAGAAAAATGGAAAATTGCCTCTTGATGGATCGAACGAGGTCGAGGGAAGCAGGGTGTCGCATGCGGTTGAGAAAATCATGGAAAGACGTTGATCTTGATGTTGATCCTTCCAACTCCATGTTCATGGCATCTCAATTTCAGTGAATGCTCATTGAAACTGAAGTAGAAGAAGAAGAAGAAGCAACATGTGCTAACGTGACCAGTAGAAAGGAATGTTAGATTGTGGCACATCACGTGATTCTCATTTTATGCAACTACCGGTAAATCTTATGTTCTGTAAAGGATGTGTATGACACATGACACACACATGTAATAACATAATGCGAAATTATATATAATATAATATATAAAACATAAAACACAATCCATAAATTAAAGAAAAAATAATAATTTAAAAATAAACAAAAATCATTAACAGTTCAAGAAATATTTAACTTATATAATTATCTTGATAATTTTATTTGCATTTTAAAAGTTTAAGCAACATAAATACAAATTATAATTTTTTTTGTAAAGTATCTAAGAGGGTCCTTCCGATCAATATATTATTGACAAACCAAGAGATTAATTTAAGAGTATAGAGTTTAATCCTTGAATCAGATTGACCAATCCGAGTTATATCAACCAATCTATGATTTTATTGGTCAATCAAAGATAAATTTTACACAATCTAAGTCACATTGTATCCATGATCTAATTGATCAAGCCATAAAAATTGGTGAATCCCAAGTCATATTGACCAATCAAGTTGGATGAGCCTAGGGTTGGTCGATGACAAATTAATTTTATTAGATGCCAGTGACTCTCTTCTTTTATCTTCGTTGAAATCAACAAAAAGAATTTTTAGTGATATCCTCATAAATGAGTTGATAATTGAAAATGATCACTTAATGTTATTCACTACTTTTTGAACTTGGGATGCCACCACTTTTTATGTGGTGGGGTGTGCCTTTATCCAAGGATGAATAGTGCCTAATTAACTATTTTTCACAATTCCAGGCCATTGAATGCATATTTGATCTTTAACTCATGCTTTTGAAATTGATCCGGTTTGAATAATTTCGCATAACAATTTTTAGGTACGATTTGCAAGAGTACAATTTTGTAAAATAATAATAAAAGATATTGTCTCCGTGAGAACTATATTGTCAACTACGGAATACTCACAATACAATAATTTAAATGTAACCAGATTAATTAAACAGGGACATGTAGAAAATATTAAAGAGAAATAATCATCAAAAGGGTTAAGATCAAATTCCAAGAAACTTTTAAGAATTATTTTATCTAAATTGTTTATTATTCAAACACCTACGTGATTGCCTAAAAGATTACTTTAGAAATTTTTTATTTTAAGAATTTGTGAAAATCTTGTTTTCTGATCGTTATTTTAATTTTTCATTATTTTGTGGCATTATATTTAGTTTGAATACTATAATTATGCTTTTTTCTCTATTTTTTAGAGTATAAAATAAACTCATACGTGTTTGTAATTTGAATTTATGTTATCCGCGCAACCTTATGAAAACTCTTGAGTTTGACAATCTTGAAGGACAAATAAAGAAATAGACAATAGTAATCTAACCCTTATTCAATTTCAGAACCCCTCCAAAAGTGCCTCAATTTGTCTTTAAATAATTAAGGTTAAAAGATGGAGTAGGCCCTTGAACAAATACATCAAATAGAAAACGCAAGTTTGATAACATCGTGAAACGGGAACATGTTGGTTAACAATTTGGCCTTGTTTTTCTTTAGTTGAGGTTCTTCTAATTCTACTACTCGAGTTTAATCACAATCGTGTCTTCTAATATAGGAAAACTTTATTTTATCTTTGTTTGATGTTGCTTAATTGTGATACTTGAGATGGAATACAATTATGTTTTCTACCACCGACTAGTTGTGTTGTTTTTTTCTTTTTTGGTTGCCCAACTTCTCATTTGAATTTTCAATTTTTTAAAGTTTGTTTGTGCAATCCACACTCGCGGATCAATCATGCAAAAGTACTAATTTAATCCAAGACAATTCAATTGGATGGAAAAACTCACTAGAGATGCACGATGATATATACATAATTTAGATGTCAACTTGATCTACAGTGAAATATTCAACCTTAGATAAAAGTACTTTGCCACCCCTATTCTACCCAGATCTGCCGCCGTAAAGGTTAGGAAATTCCACTTTATCAAAGGCTATTCATCCACCTTATTTAATGTGTTGTTTAAGCTAAATCTTGAACTCGGTTATAACCCTAGGTATATCAACATTTTTATGTTATGACATTTCTGAATATACATCAGAGAATTTTATTAGCTCAAGTAAATTAGGATTTAATATCTGTTGTCAACTCTCTTCTGTTAAATGTTGAGCTAGTTCATGGAGAGTCAGCACATCACTTTGAGCCACGTCATTTAATTTTATAATATTTTATTATTTAAAAGTAATATTTACAAATAAGTAATATATTTTTAATATTTATAAAAAAAAATCATTTTCCTTTCCCTTACTCATTTCTTTTCCCTTTCCTGTTGCCCTACCCTATCCCCACCCCATCTGCCTCTTGCAACCCAACCTCTCCCTCTTCGCTTGCCCTTCTCCATCCCCATTCCTGTCCCCTTCTCCTTCCCCACACTCCCATTCCGCACCACCATTTCTTCTTCCTCCCTTTTCCTATTATGTATAAAATAGGATGAATGCCACATGGCATAAACTTGAGGGAATGACAATTAAAAATAGTTAACTTGTCTTTAGTGGAAAGGATAGTTAGTTATGTTGTGTTTGTTTCAAGTCTATAAATAGACTATGTTGTATCCATTATCATTCATTTTGAAGGACTTCTTCATTAAGGGAAGTTGTGTGTGTTGGTGAGTGGTGAGTGAAGGTGATTGTGCCTTTGAGGAGTGTATATTCCATAGATTATGATTTAATTCACAACAGTGGTATCAGTAGTGGGGGATGATGGGCGAATACGTGACGAACAAAGATTTAGAAATACGTATGGAAGGAATCGAGAAACACTTGGAGGAATCTCAGGTTTCAACACGTTCGGCAATTGACACAATGCAGAAGATGTTTGGAGCAGCTGCTTCTCCACCACAATGTTGGCAATTCAAACCCAAAATAAGAAAATGCTTTTGTAAATGACTCCAATAAAGTGTTTGCCTGTACTCATATTCCATTTCCTTCATTTGATGGTGGAAACTATAGGGAATGGCGTGTCACTAGATGCACACGGTGGCAAACTTCTTCTTTTGTCCATGGAGGTAAAGCCTTTGTGAGGCAGTGACATTACTCTGAGCACCACAAAGTCAAGGAAGTTTCTTGACAGCAAATCTTGGAAGATGTAGGATCAAGATTTGATGATGAGAATTTTGATGATCTGATTTTAGAATAATCCAAACTACAGTAGGACGGACCATTAACAAATTATTTGGAGGAATTTGATTCCTTGTTGACACGTGTCAATGTGTCTGAAACAATGGCAATAAGCTTCTTCTTAAGTGGTCTCCAAGGAACTCTTGAGAAAGTAGTAAAAGTCTATCAACCAAGAACAATCTAATCAGCTATGTGGACGACAAAACTATAAGAGACAGTGTTGCACAATTCAGAAAAAAAGTTCACTAGCCTAAAGTCTTTTTTCCAAGATACCAAAAAATTTCATCTACGAGCTGGTCTTCTTGGAATCTTTCAAACAAGTTTCCACCGATAACGAATTTGCAGCAGACTCAAAATAGCACGATTAAATCGTCAGGGAATAGTGCACTGAAGGATACCAAAGTGGTAGGATCCATGACTTTAGGGAATAAGGAAGAGATGAGTGACACGATAGTCTGTGGTTTATGTCATTTTTGTGGCGATCCTTGGGAAAGAACACACAGGCAAAACTGCAAGGTTTGGGGCAAACTCAATGCAATTTTCTTCACTCAAGGTGAGGACTCTGAGGAGGATTTAACTCAGGACGTAGAGGAAGAAACTTTGGCCATTGGAAACAAGGTCTTGGAGGAAGAGAATGTCCATATCTCCTTGTGTGCGTGCCCTACAAGGAATTGTAGGGGGCCAAACACTGCAGCTACAAGGGCTAATCAAGAAATAATGGTTCCCTTTTCTCATGGATACTGGTAGCACTCACAATTTTGTGAGTGAATCCTAGGTCAAGATTCAGGGTCTCAAAACCCACATCATTAAAGAATTCCATGTTGTTGTTGCAAGTGATAAGCATATTATAATTGAGAAGAGATGTGAGAAGGTGCATTAAAAATTTGACAGACATGAATTTGTAGATGATTTTCTAGTTTTGTCGGGTCTACCTACGAGGTAATTTTAAGAATGCAGTGGTTTCTTCGAGAAATTAAGTGGAATTATGCAAGGCTGACCATAGAATTCAACCATGGTGATGGGGTGGTATAGTTGATAGGGAATAAGCAATGCTTTACAATTATAGAAACCAAAGGCAGATTAAAATCAATATATTGCCAGGCTATACTATTCTCTATGGTAACTATAGGTGACACAGGGACTATAGAGACTCGTACCTTACATGCGGAATCTTTGAGTGCAACACAACTACAAGAGCTAAATTACTTGTTAGACAAGTATGTAGATTTGTTTTTGGGACCAACCCAACTACCCCAAAAAGGAAGTATGACCACAAAATCCTATTATTAGATGATGCTCCTATTTGGTCGAAACCGTTTAGGTATCCTCAGGCACAGAAATCTAAGATAGAAAGGATGGTTAGTGAAATGCTAACAACAGGTTTGATCAGAGAAAGTAACAGCTCATATGCCTCTCCAATTGTGCTGGTGAAGAAACAAGATGGAAGCTGAAGGTTTTGCATAAACTATAAGAAGTTGAATGCCGCAACCATAAAGAATAAATTGTCCACCCCATTAATAGAGGATTTATTAGATGAGTTGTATAGGGCTGCCTTCTTTTCTAAGTTGGACCTGAGAAGTGGATATAACCAGATCAGAATGGTGGAAGAGGATATACACAAGACTGCATTTAGAACTCATAGTGGCCACTATGAATGAATGGTATTACCTTTTGGATTAGCCAATGCACTTGCCACTTTTCAAAACTTGATGAATGATATATTTAGATAGCACTTGAGGAAGTTCATCCTTGTATTCTTTGATGATATCTTGTTCTATACAAGGACTTGGGAGGAGCATTTATTGAAGTTTGAAACAACCTTACAGGTATTACAATCCAATTCCCTAGTCTTGAACAAGAAGAAGTGCAGTTTTGGAAAGGGACAGGTAGACTATTTGGGCCACTTCATCTCTTCCACAGAAGTTCAACCAGACCTTTCAAAGGTTGTAGTAATGAGAGATTGGCCAATTCCAACTTTAGTTAAAGAGCTCAGCGGGTTTTTAGGACTCTCAGGTTACTATAGGAGGTTCGTACTGAATTATGGGAAGGTTGCTAAGCCACTCACCAAGTTGCTACAAAAAGGGGAGAAGTATGAATGGACATAAGAAACTGATGAAGCATTCAACAGATTGAAAGAAACATTGACAAATGCTCTGTACTAGCTCTACTTAACTTTGACAAAACATTCACTATTGAGACAGATGCCTCTAGTGTTGGGATTGGGCAATATTGCTTCAAAGGCATCATCTATTGGATTTTATTAGTAAGGAAATGGGTAAAAAATACCAGCTATTATCATCATATGAAAAAGAGTTCTATGCAATCTTATTTGCAGTAAAAAATGGTAGCATTATCTATTAGGCCATCATTTCATTATTAAGAAAGATCAAAAAGCATTGAAGCACCTGATTGAGCAACTACCAACCACATTAATGCAAAACTAGGGTCTAGAGAAGCTGATGGGATTGGACTTTGAAATCGACTATAAAAAGGGCAAGGTGAATGTTGTTGCTGATTCCCTATCCAGGAAGGAGCCTACTGAAACCTTGTGATCAGCATTTACTGTAACTTCATATTTACTTCAAGAGGTGAAAAATAAGTGGGAAGCGGATGAGAAGCTAAAGCAGTTAATGGACAGAATGACACTCAGTCAGAAAACATATAAGAAATACAGTTTCATTGAAGGGATACTAAAAAGGAGTAAGAAGATAATGGTAGGACAAAGTAAGCTAGTAAAAGATAGGTTGTTACATTACTTCCATGACTCACCTGTTGGAGGACACTCAAGGATCACTCAAACTTATCACTGAATCTAGACAATATTCTATTAGGAGGACTTTATAAGGATGTGTAGAGATAGGTGAACAGATGCCATACATGCCGAAGATTTAAGTCTTAGCTAAGAGCATCAATTGGGTTGTTACAACTACTGCCTGTACCAGATCAGGAATGGACTTCAATTACTATGGACTTCATTGTGAGTTTGCTGAAGTCGAATGGTAAGACAGTAGTCTTAGTAGTCATAGATAAACTAACTAAGTATGCACATTTTATAGCTATAGCTTAGCCTATTTCAGCAGCAAGGGTGACAGTTTTATTCATGGACAACATTGTCAAGTTGCATGGCTGGCTAGCTTCGATAATTTTAGATAGAGATTTAGTGTTCATAAGCACCTTTTGGAGTGAGCTATTCAGAAGCCAGGGAAGTGGAATTGTTGAAATCAACTACCTTTCACCTTGAGATAGATGAGCAGTCGGAAGCACTAAACAAGGTATTAAAAGGATATTTAAGATGTTTTGTACGCGATTATCCAACTAAATGGTCTTCTCACTTAGCCATGGTTGAATTCTAGTACAACACAAAGTTCCAATCCGCTATTCAAATGACTCCTTTCGAGGCCTTATATAGGTATCCACCAATTTCCAATCCTCTTAGTAGGTGACCCCATCCAATGTAGAGCAGACATTGCAGCAATTTTACAAGCAAATTTAACAAAAGCGCAACGAAAAATGAAAGACCACCAATCAAAGAAGAAAAGACAAAAGCTATGCATGTGATGATTGGGTCTACTTGAAACTACAACCCTACAAGCAACACTCAATTCCTAATGCTACATTTCACAAATTAGCAGCAAGGTACTATGGATCTTACAAAATTTTGAAGGAAGTTGGAAAAGTGGCATACAAACTGGAGCTACCACCAAAAGCAAGAATACACGATGTATTCCACATTTCATTGTTGGAAAGGTATTATGGTAATAAACTTGTATTTCAGATACTACCTTCCTATAATAATAATGGCTAGATTCAGTTAACGTCTATGGATGTACTAGAAAGAAGGATGAAGCAGAAAGGAAACAGGGCACTTACAGAGCTATTGGTGCAATGGGATCATACAATCCAGAAAATGCAACTTGGCATGAGTTGCATACTCTGAAGCAGCAACATCCAAACGTCGATTGAAGTTCTATTGGAGTATAACAAGAATCGAATGATGGCCTCGGGGGCAAGGCCATTTAGATGAGGGAAAACTATTGTATATAAAATAGGATAAATGCCACGTGGCATAAACCTGAGGGAATGACAATTAAAAATAGTTAACTTGCCTATCATTCATTATCATTCATTATGAAGTAATAAACATTGAGGTTCCTTTGGAATTGACCTCCTTCCTTAAGGGAAGTTGTGTGTGTCAGTGAGTGGTGAGTGAAGGTGATTATGCTTTCGAGGAGTGTACATTTCATAGATTGTGATTTAATTCACAACATTTCCTCACATCCCCATCTCGCACCTTGCACCTCCACCTTTCTCCCTCTCATTCTCCTTCTCCACACCCGCACCTCCATCCCTTCCTCTCACCTCCTCCAAGCAGAGACAACAAATTGGTCAATAGATAGTAGGTTCAAGGATGAGTTAAGGACATTGTTGAAGGGGAAGTAAGAGAGAAGTGATGTTGCCTCTAAGAGTATTCATGATGGGTTTCTACATTGGTGGGGCTGAAGAGACGTTGAAGGTTGCAGAAGAGGATCTTTTGAGACACTTGCTTGAAGGGTTGTCGAGAAAGAAATTTGGTTCTTGATTCTATTTGTGAAGGTTGTAGAGATGTTGTGTTTTTGCCTTGTTTTAATTGTAATAGGAGTTGTAATATGATGGATGTTGTTAAGGAAGATGTTTGTGCTTCTTACAAGAGAAGATGGTGAGACAGAAAAGAGAAAGAGAAAGGAGAAAGAACTTTGATGCAAATATTAAAATATGTTCATAAACTTATTGGTAAATATTAATTTTAAATAATAAAATATTATAAATTAAAAAACATGGCATGTCACCTAAAAGTGCTAAGTTAGTTCTCTGTTAGTCAATTTGACATTTAATGATAACAGAAACTAAATCTTAACTTTTTAACTTTTTAAGAATTAAATTCTAAATAAAAATTATAAAAAAATGTCTAATATTTATAAGAATTAAAAACATAATTAAACTTTAATTTAATAAGAAACAAAATACAAAACATGCTTATGAGAGTTTTTAAGTCAATTATATAGTTAAAAAATTTTGCTTTACGTAACTAGAACTTTGATTTGATAGAATTTGTTAGAGAATTTAGTTTTATTAATTTTAAAAATTAAATCAATTGAATGAATTATTTTGAGTTGTTATAAATAGGTGATTCTTAAATGTTCATCTAATAAGATTTAACACGATCATGCTAAATAAAAAATAATTCCTAATAATATGAAAAAAAAAAAGTATTTTTAGAGAAAACAACAAATTTTAATAATTTATCTATTTGCTAAAAAACCCTATCAGTACAATCCTAACCATATGTACGAAGAAACTTATCTTAGAATAAACAAATACATTTTGATGATCTTTATGTCTTAAAAAAAATATTATGATAATTTCTCCAAATTAAACAAAGTTTAAACTACAGTCATGAGTACAATCAGTCATGAGTACAATCACAAGTTAACTCTTTTTTTTTTCCAGTTTTTAAACAAGAAAATAATAATAATTTTAGACTTAAAATCTCATTTTGTTGTGCCGGTTAAATGCATAAAAAAATAAAGCTTCCTATGCTTAAATTAAGAAAATATATTCTTTTACCTTCATTTCCTGTATATTCTCTCTTCATTATTCATTCTCACTAAACCAGTTTATGATGCTTGTTTTAGGTATTGATTAACAATTCTGAGATATTTTCAAACATTCCCTCTAGACAGGTTCATTTCATTTCTTGTAGTGTGAGCACATGCGATTGACACAAACTGTGCTTTACTCACCAAAAATGGATTCTCAATGTGAGTTTGAGAGATGAGACCCTAAACAAAGGCGTGAAAATTTTGACAGCATGTTGTACACGGACACAGCCCTGTGGACAATATCACTGTTGCTGGGTGCTAGTTGTACAAAGTCCTATTTCTTTAAAATCACAACAAATGGACCTGCCGCTTATATTCTTCAATCAGATTCATTTCTTCGCAAAGACTTGAAATATCAGGCATTATCCCTCCATCATCATACCTATGTATTCCGTCCCCTACTAGATCATTTAACAAAGCAGCTGGATCTCTGGCTCCTCCATGCTGTAAGAATTTTGTTCTTAAAGCAAATCCTGTAGCCGGGGACAGCGGATCCTCCTGGCACAGCCTCTTCCATATGGTTGCGGCAAAACACTTGGCATACAAATAGCTATAATAACCTGAACGGGAAAAAAAGTTAAGTATACCAACCGAAAAAAATTCAACAAATGAAAAATGTCTAGCACCACGTGAACAGGATTTGTTGGCATAGGTAGGATAAATAAAATTACAACAATTAAGTTATGTACAAAACCTCTGACTATTTTTATGGCATTGGAATATTTAAAATGAAGTAGTCTTTGATCCTTGTCATAACATTAAAAATCAAATTCAAAATGTGCAGTCTTGTTGAAGTGTAGCACAGAGGAATGCAGTTTATCCGAAGGAAATCAATTATGACTTGATCTAACTCGCTAATTTGAGAATAATGACTTCTGCCATTCTCACAAGGCTAGCACATGATCATATATGAACAAACATAAATTTACTGACGTATCACTACGCTCAATATCATTGATACAAGGGAATAAAAGAATGTTCAGACTTCAGACACACCTGCACCATAATTAATTAGGTGACTAAATCGGCTCTCCCAATGCGTGCCTTCCACATGTTCCCAATTAGTATGCTCTCTTTTCAGTTCTGCAACAACGGAACTAGGATCACCATATGGTAATGGTTTCTCTCCATAAAGTGTCTGGTCAACAAGGGCATAGAAGATCTGACAGAAAAAGACAATTAAACTATGTTAATTGTTTTTTTCTTTTTCACACACAAAGACATTAGTTATGTACTGACGTAAGACACCATCATGTCCCCCACATAGGCTAATAAACAAGAAAATAAAAAAGCACCTGACGTTGTAGTTCAGTTGCAGCAAATATATCTTTAGTACCCTGAATCGACTCAGCCAACTTTTGAGGGATTTCTTCACCAGTTGAATAGTGCCTTGCAAATTTTTTCAAAACTCGGTAATCCCGTGCATAGTACCTGTCATAAAAAATAATACCTGGTCAATTACAATTTAGCAGATCAATTACAACATTACGAATGAGGTCATCAAATTCATTCAGCACCAATTCCTTCTTTAAGTCATTAAATGATAAAATTTCGCTATATCCTTATCATATTAAATAACTACCCCTATTGCCCCATAGCTGGTCCCAAACCCAAGTAAAGGAGGAGTGTTGTGTTAGGCCTTCAACAACCAGCGTAAAACTTGTCAAAACCTTTTACATGAATGACTCATGAGGATATTATGCTAGAATTAAGTCATTACCCAGAAGTAACACGCAATATGTCTCGAGTACAATGTTAAATGAGCTAAAGCTATTGCATTGGCACTCAAATGTAATGTTAAATGAGCAAAAGTCCTCACATTTGGCTAGATGAATGTCGGTAAAGAAATCAGTTTAGGAACGAATGTTTTGGTTTGGTTCATGGAATATTGATACTTTGATAATAAGTTGTTAGAAGAGTGGACACCATGATTCGTAAAAGAATTCACACCGTGTGCCTTCAAGAAACGAAATGGATTGGAAATAAAAGTAAGGAGCTCAATCCTATAAGTTTTAAACTTTGGTACATAGGAAAAATTAAAAGAAAGAACAAAGTAGGCAATTGTAGATAACACTTCGAAAAAGAATGTGGTAGATATTATAAGGATTGTATACAAGATCATGTTTTTAAAGTTATAGATCGCCAAAGATACATTTAATATCATTAGTGTCTATACTCCACTAGTTGGCTTAGAAGCTCTTTTGAAAACAAAATTTTAAAAGGATTTCGAGGGGTTGATCCAAGACATTCCACAAGCTAAAAAGATTTTCATAGGCAATGACTTAAATGTCATGTTAGTTGTGAGACAAGATAGTATAAAAGAGTTCATTGTGGTTTTCTTTGAGTTAACAAGAAAGGACAATTTATTTTTGTTTCTCAATGGCTTACAACTTTAAGATTATGAACACTTGTTTTAAAAAGGACGAACATCTTAACACATTTAAGAGTGAGGTTTCAAGGTCACAAATTGATTTCTTTTTAGTAAGACAACAATTTGCATAGATTATAAAGTGATTCTAGGAGCTTTATCACACAACATAAGATCTTAGTTCTTGATATTTGTTTCAAGATTGGTAAAGCAAAAAATTTGACAAGTTATTGTTTCAAGAACCAAGTAGTGGCTACTTAAAGATGATAAACAATTGAACTTTCAAAAGCAGTTAAAAGAAGGTAAGTGGGATGTGAAAGGTAACATCATTTGAGACAAAATGGTCATGAAGGTAAAGAAAGTTGTCAAGACAATTTTGGGTGAATCTAGAGGTTTTGGACCAAAATAAAAGAAATCATAATAGTAGAATGAAAGTATACAAGTGAAGAATAGAGACAGAGAATGTGTTTTAAAACTTTGCATTTATGCAATAATGTTGAAAATTGGCTAAAGTATCAGAATACAAGAAATGAGACAAGAAAAATAATGAGTGAAACAGGTTTTCAGACTTTTGAAGGATTTTATCAAGATCTTGAGACAAAGTATGATAAAAGAAAGATTTATAAGCTTGCCAAAAGTAGTGAAACAAAATCCAAATATTTGGATTAAGAAAAAAAAGTTTTGGTTCTAAATCAAGACATCAAAGACAGATAAGAGAACTATTTCTAGAAACTTTTTAACAATGGAGAAGGAGCAAATGAAAATATAGCAAGATTAGAAGTACCAGTGAATGATTTAAATTTGACATATTAGTATATTACCGTAGAATTCAAGTTAGAGAAGTAAATGAAACTCTTAAGAAGATAAACAATGAAAGACAATTGACTCTAATAATATCCCTATTAAAGTTTAGAAAAGTTTGGGAGAACAAGGAATTAAGTGACTTAGTAAGTTCTTTAATGAAATTTTGAGATCAAAGAATAGCCAAATAAATAGAGGAAAAGTACTTTAGTCCTTATATACAAAAACAAGGGTAATATTCAAAATTGTTATAACGACGGAAATTGATGAGAATCAAGAAGTAACCATAGTCAAGAAGGAAGGAAATAAAGAGAATGATGTTTTTTGCAAGGATTTATTAAGCCACATTCATGGGCTAGAACAAAGAGGATCAAGCAAGTCTTCAAACAATTAGTCACAAGTTTGATTAAACCAAGCCTTATATGCAAGGAATGAAGCCTCAATTGATCTACTTAATTTAGACCGGATAAAGTGATGTTTAGGATCTTTTAAGTTTTAATTAATCTTCAGGCCTATTTGATTAGTTTTTCTGATATTTGGGCCTTGTTGGCCACATAGTTCATTAATTATGTCTAGGGTTAACTTAATTGCTGTAATTAGGTTTGAATTGGTCTATAAGTTAAATGAGCACATTAGGTCTTTTATTTTAAATGTCTTAATTCAAAATGTGTTGGACTGAACTAAACATAAATCCATTAGATCTTTTAGTAAGTATTTTTCTTTATAATTTGCGACTACTCATGAAAAAACAAGTTTTAAAGTTTATGAAAAATTGAAAAATTATTCTCTTCAAAGAGTGTTCTCGCAACTTCTTATTTGGAACCATTATTGATTTTACTAAGAGTCCTTCTATAGCTCTTGTGAGGATTATCATGGCATAAAATCATCCTTCATTGTGGCACCCTAATTCATCTTCTGTTTTATCTGTTTTTATATTTTCTTTTTCTATTGAAAACAAATTGAATTTTATGCAATCTGAATTGTCATAGTTAATTTTGTAAATTCCAGCCTTGAACAATTAATATTGATGATTCATGAACTTTGGATGATAGCACGTGGTCATCTAGTTTTGGTAAACCCTAAATATCTTAATTTTGTGTTTTTTCTTGCTCAGTTCTTGTGATTTTGTTGAATCTTTGTTAATCCTTGTTTGTTTTTGCATATTATTAGTGTTCTTAGGAATTGATCAGCTTTGGTTAATTTGATTTAGTTTGCGGTTTATGTGTTGCCCTTATTGTTGTGTTATCTATATTTGTTAGTTTAAATTTGTTATCATTTCAATTGTTGTCTTATGACTCTTATCTCTTTATCCTTATTTGTTGGTCTAAATGTTACTTCGTCATGTTCTATTGTTAATTTGTTATCAAACTTTGCTTATCTTCTTCATTTTAAATTTTGTATTTTTATTTGAGCATTCAAGAAAAGGGGGCAGCAGCCAAAAAATATCAAGGAAATAGAAAAACAAAAAATAAAAAATCAATTAATTACTGATTTTGGTGTTATAATTTCTCATTCTTAGCATGTCCATTTTCTTACTTTTTTCTTATTCTTGAGTCTTGTATTGTTTAATTTCATCGTGCTTCTCTCTTTTTTAGCCTTTCTTGCTTGTCTTCTTTGATTCTATTGGTTTTTGTCTTAGAGTATTCCACTTGTTTGGCCTCTTGATTGATATGTGTGGATTATTACATTAGATCATAGTCGTCAATAGTGGCCACTATCACAGAGGAGCAGAGTGGCAAGTTGCTGCTATGAAGCATTGTTGCGTTGCATTTCAAAGTAGCTGCCATCATGCCACGAATTGCGGCGAAAATAGGGCAAATTGCTGCCACCACTATTTCATTTCCTAGGTCAAATCCCTATTTTACCCCTTCGTTGTTTGAATGTTGGGCGACTTTAAGGGGGGCAATCCTGGGATTTCTTCCCCCTTTTACTTTCATATCTTCATCTACCCTATCAAGCCCTAAAATTTCCTCCTTTCTATTTCTCTTGCTTGTTTGGTGCAACATTGAGAGTCACTATTTCCAACGAACTTCTTGTCATCTTCTTCATCTCCGATCATCTTCTTCATCTCTAGCGATGTGTTTTGACGTGACCCAAACATTTCTAGTCATCTTCATCTCCGACAAAGCTTTCGACGTGACCAGATGTTTTCTGGTCTTCATCTTTGGCGAAGTTTATGATGTGACCCAAATATTTTTCGATGACTAAACATTGTTTTCTATTTCCGTTTGCTGTTTATTATTTATTTCCTTCTTTGGTTTGAGTTTTCCTTCTCTATTTTCTTCCAAATTTGTGTATTAATTTTATATTTTTAAGCACATACATGTGTAACTTAATTTATATGAAGTTTTAAACAACTTCAGAATAGCAGTCATCCTACTAGCACTATTCCCACTATAGCGTTTTTGAGGTAGGCCGCTCTATGCTACTATCCTAGATTGACTATTATGCATTAGCTATTGGAAAACTTCAAAAAGATTGACTTATGAGTCCATTTAAGACCTTGAGAAAGAGAACTTGAATGGTAAAAGATAAGATTGTACATTACACAAAAGCTCTTGTTGAGTGACATACAAGTGAGTTCAAACACTTGAGTGTAACATGCAAAAAGAGTGATGAGACCTTAATTTCATGTTTTTTTTCTTCACTAACTCCTTGTTTGTAGCTATGTCAAAGGAAGTTGGTTCAAGTGGAGGAGGTGCTCCTTCCCCAAGAACCCCAAGTATGATGGTTTAAACGCAAAACTTCACTCAACATTTGGAGAGGTTCTTTCAAAGACACAATGATGAGATTCATGAGAGAATTGACCAACTAGAAAGGAGAAGGCTTATGAAGGATAGAAAGAAGGAAAGAAATTATAGAAAAGAATGAGGGAAAGGAATAAGAGAGGAGAAAGAGACTATGAAATATTACATAGAGAATATGAGAAAAGAGAAAGAGAAATTGTGAGAAAAGTTAAAGAGCTTGAGCAAAAAGAGAAATAGAAAGCTTGATGAAAAGTAAAATAGAAAGCATAATCTATACACAAATCTTTTATAACTTATTTAAAGAAGTATCATCCATTTATACAATTAAACTGAATCTTTTATAATTTATTTGCCATCTTGGTTTAAGGTTTAAGACATAAAGAGCATAGCACTCTACTCACTCGAAGAGGTTGGATGGTATTTCTGCAAAATCAAGAACCGCTCTAGTGCCTGAAAAATGTTGGTAGTCCTACAAGGAGAACATGACAGCATCACATTACAAAAATGACAACAGCATCCTTTGTTCCAAACCTTCCTATCATTAACAAATGCTTGCAATGGTATTTTGGTTCATTGAATAATATGGTAAGACAGTTCATATAATTACAAGTTCAAAACTCATTTGAAAAATGTCATTAGAGTTTAACTCAATTTGGTCAAATCTCATGCTCATACTAACAAATGTTTGCAAAGATATTTTGGTTCATTAAACAGAATGGTAAGACAATTCATATCATTACAATTTCAAAATGCACTTAAAAATGTCATTTAACTCAATTTGCTCACATCGTTCTCATATTAACAACTTAGAATATTTGATGAGAAAGATATTAGACTTCTAATAAATTACACGTTACAAATATTGAACATGTTTAATGTGTTATTCATATATCCCAAAGATACAATGTAGCTAACAGCGATGCTACTATAGTATCTTAGGGAAGTATTTGCTTTGGGACTCTGACTAATTGTTATTTCGTGGGTGATGCTTCAATTAGTTTAATATGACCTATATTGAACTATGTACATAACTAGCATTATCATTACATTAATATGGTATCTCAAGGGACCTGAGCTCCTTCCAATTGAACTATAACAAACTTATTGTAGAGATATTTGTAAAGTAGTTAACTTTGAAAATACTTAATTGCCTAATTTGCACACAAACCAGACACCACATGATATAGCTTTGTCCTCATTTTGTGAAGCAACGATTTCCTCAAGAAAAGTTCAAGATAATACCGTTCTTGAAAGCAGCGAATGAAGAGCATGTCCAAACTCATGAAATAAAGTTTCTACTTCCGATGGATTAAGCCTTACAGCTGATGGATTCTGTGAACCGGAAAAGTTACAAACAAGAGCTACAATCTGCAATTATCAGAATCAATCAACAATCAGAAGAATAAACACCCTGCCTCCTCTATAGTGAATCCAGTGTTTTAGTCTGAAAAATGTGCTGTGCATTGATGTTTCTTAAACAGGAAAATTTCTTTTAGAAAAGAAAAAAAAAAAAAAAAAACTCATATATTGAACAGTAATACATAGGCCTAAGAAATCTAGGGTTCATTACTGTATATTATCAACAGTTATCAAATCATAATTTACTATCTAACCCCTAACACTTCAAAAAGTGGTTAAGTCATGATAAAATAACATTTAGCTCGTTTCTTGACATTATAAAAAATGCTAGTCCAACTCCAACAATATGCAATTAAAAAATGTTACAAACACAAAACATAATTAGTAAATGAAATATATGGGGGATCATGAGACAAGAATTGCAGAAAGTGCATTGAGATGCAATCATTTACCCTACAAAGGTGAAAAATGCCATAGGACTCCTACAAAGAATGATATTTATGCTTGCATAACCTTGAGTGGAGTGGTAAGAAAAACTCATGATTTAGTGTTTGATTTCACCCTCATTTCTAAAAATATGCACTTGAGAAGGAACCTAAATAAACATAAGGAGAGATTCTATAAACTGCTTGAGTGTTTTCACCTAGCACACTGATATTTTCACACTGGGAAATACAAATATTCACAATAATTATAAATAATTAAACTGTTTCCTAACACCCTAATTTTTCCAATGCTTCACAAATTCCTATTGGTAAACTCATATGGGCTACGTAATTAGTTAACTTATAGCACACCCCAAGGGTCTGTCTCTGTCTTTGTGTAGTTACTGTATTAGTGTAAATATAGGGCTAAGTAGGTGTTATGTGTTGAACTATTCCAATCAATTGGTGAAATAGTGATCACTTAGTCACACATCTCCACCATCTTTAATTTCTTTCTTAAACCATCTTGTTTTTACACTGGAGGATGTATCTCTTCTCTTTTCTCAATAATATTACACTTCAAAAAAATAAAAAGAAAAGTTTAACACAAAACTGCACATTTGAAAAACAGAGAAAAACACAATTTTGTAGCTAGATGCCTGGATCTGATTAAGAGAATGACAAATGTTCACATACTGGAAGTTGGTATTCTGATTGAGAAATCCTGCGACCCCCTTTTATTGCAAAATGAGCACAACCAGGATACTTTCCCTTTCTTGAGTATAAATCAAGGTAGAGATATCCTAGGTCACCCTGAAATGAGTTTGAGTCTCAATGTCTTCAAACTGATTAATGAGCAAAAAAAGCAAAACAGTATTGATATTAATTATCACAACAATCTAAATACATGTGAGTGATCAAATCTTTGGCAGCACACACAAATGAAATAAGGTCCAAAGATATAAACACTAGGTACAATCAACAGATTACAAGGAGAATAGAAATACTTAATTGGGAAAGCAAGACAATTATTAAAGGAACTCAGCAGAGAAAAGTCAATGTACATCAGAAAATGGGAACATTGCATGCTTGACAGGTGATTTGATAAATTACCACTCCTCCCTACCATAATTTGATGCAGCACCAGATAATCCCGCCATTGTAAGGCCAATCATCAATTCACATTATAGTATGACAAAGTTGTGTTTTTTAAGTGAGAAACTGAGAGGAAATAGAAGAAAATGATTGAAAATGTAAAGAGAGATGTAATTCATTTCACTAAAAGAACTCAAATATTTTTCTCATATTTACATTTTCAGTGAGAAACAGAACCTAGGACAGATGTTATGCCTGTTGTAAATAGACTTAGCATACTCTGATGTAGTAACAGTTCTGATAACAAAATTAACCATTTGTCAGTTGTCTGATTCTGTACGCAACACGTTCTCTAACACAGTAAGAGAAAAAGAGGGTAATGGCATTGAGTCGAGGGAGGGATAACGTTCTTTTCTCAAACCACAACTAGAGAATGTGACAGTGGACCAACCATGAAGGACAGACGTTTATTTGAGATTTTATTAAAGTCATTATACATACAATTTACTGAATTTTGAACCAAAAATCAATATTGAATTTATAGTCAAAGATATAATCATATAAGTTGTATAAAAAAGTTAAAACTAAGGAAATATCATTCTGATTTTCTGCACAATTTAGAGTTTTATTGGACTCAAATGCATTTCAAGTAACAGAAGTTTCCACACCAAATACCTCTTCAGGATGATGAAGAGACAGTTTAAGCACTTGTGGGTCCCAAGATTCACCAGGTGCTAGAGGGATGCTATGAAAGGTTGCACCAAACAGAGACTGCACTAGCACTTTCAAACCCTCAATACAATTTGACAGAGAAAAGTATGCATCGACTACCTGCTTACACAAATTTTGCATTGATGTGAAAATACAAACACAGGCAGGTATGCATTAATGACAATTGACAAACAAAACATGCAGGTATATCATAATTACCGAAGAATCTAATTTATGTACAGAGGACTTCATCACTGTCATGTAATAGGCCTCATCCCATGGCCTTAAATCACCACTTTGACCCCATTTTTCTCTCTTGAATTTTGTTAGTAACTTGCGCTCCTAAGATTGTTAGGCAAACAGAAAATCCTTGTTTCAGATACAAGCACAAGCCACTTTAGCCATAACATCCCCCCTGCCCTAGATAGTATGTCTTACAGGAATTTGTACCTCTTTAGCCTTGTCCTGGACCATCTTGCTCATTTCAAGTAAAAATGACATTACAACTTTTGGTGATGAAGCCATGTTAAGCTTAACAGCAAATTCAGCATAAGATCTATACTCCAATAACTGTATCAAATAATCATAAAGTAAAATCATTGGTTTATAAAGTCAAAATAGAAGGAATGATTATCCACTTTCTTTGTACTTTTCTCTTCATCCTTAATAAAGTTTTTTTTTGTCCAAGCCTAAAGAAAAAAAAAACACAAGTATAATTTAATTGTGTTCCTGTAGCTATAGTTGTATTACACAAATGGATGATAGGGATCTAGAAATCATGTGCACCAAACAGTAACATTGAATAAGAAAGACAACAAAAACACTTATGCTGTCGCACCAAACAAAGGGATTAAAGAGAATCAGAGCACACCATGATGATACAAACCTGAGCTAGCTCATGTCGGGCAGATATAAGCCTCTTGAGGACATCAACATTTGCATGCGGCACAGAATTGCCTCGTATATATACAATTTTCCTAACCTTAAAACACCAAGAAGGAAGTTGATAGATGCCCATTAGTTAATTACATCAGTCAATTAGTAAGTTAGGTTAGTCAATTGAAGAAATAAGGCATGTTACCTATAAATAAGAGGTTTAGATAGGAAATTGGCACCTTCGGGCATTGGAAGGTGATCCTTCAAAGTTCTACAGTTTTTTGTCATAGTAATGTCTATCCCAATTTTTTTCTAACAAAATACCAGGTTTCTATGGGAAGCACATAGAATTAATTTTAGTTCAGAATGGGGGGAAAAGTGTAGTTCATTACTTAGGATTATTTGACTTGTGAGTACCAGCAAAAGCAATTGGTACTCTAGAGTCTGAATAGCAAGTTACTTAGAAGATTAGACTTGATTACAACTGCTTTTTCAGTTAACTAGAAGTTACTGGCATCCTTAATAAGACTTACAGGTAATCCTTACTACTAGTATTAACATATCAGGGTAGACTTCTGAATATCGAACCAAAACTACCTCATCATCTGATGAAAGTTGGAGAATAGAAGCAAGAGTTTGTGAGTCTGTTGTAATTTGAAATCCTTTCTCTTTATGGGTTTCCCTGGACGTTGATAAATCCTTGGTTGTTAAAGATTCTGACCGATAGATAGGCTTAACAAGATAATGCAAATGTTTGGGGATGCGAGAAGAAGGATATATATCAACAGTTCCTGGATCCTTGACAATATTTTCACTGTACCTAACCAAACCAACAAATTGCAAACAGATCAAGAGCACTGCAAAAGTAGGCCTAATTCAAACATGTAAGTCTACTTTTGGGGAGCATAAGTAATGAAGCAATGACTGAATTGAAATCACAAATACATTTCATCAGCATGATCAACTTGAGTCATACAATTTATAACAAAAATGCCACTGAGTAAAGTTCAATTTTTTCCTCCCTTCAAACAGCAGCCAACCCTAAATGTCGCACAAAAATTCAATTCTCCTCTAAGTATATAGAATATTCGCAGAGTACATACAAGTGAAAATGACCATTAACACCAAAAGAAGGATAGGAAGGGCAAACAATTAAAGAAAATAAATATGATATAGTTCTTTAAATATTTCTAGCATTTGAACTGACTATTCACTACAGCCACTATCTGGTTCTAAAATTGCTCAATCTAATCTATCTTGTGATCAAGGTTGGACTGATCCTTTAAAAAAAGAAAAAAAAAAGGAAAAAAAAAAAAAACAGAAATGGAGTTCATGTTGTCTTAAAAAAAATGTACAATTATAATTTTTAAGGGTTCAATTAAGAAGTAACATTAAACCTGTGACAAAAGATACAAAAGACTTCAATATACCTATCTTTTCATAAATAAAAAATTTGAAATCTTCCACAAATTATTTAAGGTTACTATGAATTCACTAACAGACCTGCAACCAAAATCTCAGTCTCTCATAAGAATTTTGTAAACAAAACCTAACAAAGATGGAAAAGGAAGAGAGAGGAAGCAAGATATTTAGAACAAACAAAATGAATAATAATGAAAGAAGATGGAAATTTTTTGGCATCTATGCAAGATACGAATGAAAGATGGAGGGGTTATTTCTTAAGCTATTTGGTGAAGGGCATATAATAAGAATAAACTTGGAGTTTGACCATTAGAGAAGATTGTCAAAATTATAAACATAATTTAAGAATAAGAAGTAAAGGAAATATCAAAAGAAAATGGACAATAATACAGCAACTGGACCAGCAAATAATATGCATATTAAAGCATGGAAGTTTTTACGGCAACAAAAGATTTTCCTATAATTAAAGGTTTCAACAATGTTCAACTTTAAGTACATGCCTGATTGAATTTACTTACTGGAAACATTCAAGAGCCAATGCCTCACATGTGCCTTTTGTTTATGATATAGTCTTAAATTCCTAATTGATGAGTCAAAGAGAATTTAAACTCCACGTTGTGAGAAAGATTTTGCAATCAAAGGGCTTTTGGTTGTTTAAAAAATTGGACTACCCATTGAACCAATGAAAGTTATTGGTTCATGATTCATTGGGTCGATCATGGTTGACCTATGTTTGAATCAATAATTATTTAATATGTTTTAATATTGAATAATATATTAAGTAATAAATTAACACAAATTAATAAAAGATCAAGTTGCCTAAAATTTTTAATTAGCATAAAATAACCATATTACATATATCCTATAAAGTATAAAATCAATAATAAAAGGCTAAAAATTAAGAACTCATTAGTGAACCTCGTATATGTACCTTTCTAACTTGCCAATGTACCTTAGTTAAAAAAAAAAAGTTGAATTTAAAAAAAAGACAACTCAAACCATTCTCTATTACCAGTTATGCACCCCTTTTCACTGATTTTAGACTGGTTTGTGCAATTCTTCGTTAGTCTCTACCAGTTTAGAAATCAACTAGCGGTTTGGGCTTAAACAAACTGGACACTAGACCAGTTCACTGATTTTCTGGTCAAATTGGCTGGTCTGGTCCAGTATTTTTAACCATGGTTTTTGATTTAGTGGGACAGAGAAGAGTATATAGAATGCACATCCATGCTATCAAATGGTGGCCATGGCAGAAAACAGTGGTGGTATATTAACAATCCACCATACATATGTGGGGTCATGGTGGATTTGCAATGGCAGGTCATGGCGGCTGTTATTTGCATGACGGTTATGGTGGCCATAATTGAAATTTTGGGAATGTGCCAAAAAAAAAAAGAGAATGAGATTTGCTGATTTTACCTAGTTCCGCACTGACCCAACATAAAAAAACCCCAAAATGTAGACTTTCAACCTTCTTGGCTTTTGTTATCAGTCTCAGCTACGTCTTTCTCTCTCACAGCAGCCTCCCATCTCCTTCTCTCACCTTCCCTGCTTCCAATGACAATGAGCTCCAAGAACCCTCATTTTCCAGTGAGCAGGTTTTATTGTTGCTGGTTTTGTTTTATCCTCCAATCTATTTTTCTTTTTCCTTCTCCACATATCTCCTCCATCCTCTCCATTTTTTTTTTTTGTTTCAACTTTCTTTCTCTTCTCATTTCCTTTTCTGAGTTTTCCTTCTCTGTTTTTCATCCATTTTTTACTCCAATACTGCTGCCTTGGTTTGAGCAGCAGTTTTCCTTAACTAACCTAACAACAAGCTTCCTCAAATTCTTCAAGGGCAGTTAATCTGATTAATCCAACATGCTTCCTCAATGAGTCTTTCTATTTTCCTTGTTTTTTATCACTTTGTTTCACTTGAGGCTTGATGGCTTTTAGTTTATATTGAACTTGTGCTTTAAGACTTAGGCTATTATGTTATTATGAGATCTTGGTATGAGGCATATGATATTATTTGATGATTTTCCATCAATTAGATTCTTGATTTTGACATGCGTAGTTGGTTTGTTGGTTTTATATCACATTCTGCAGCATTTTTTTTTATATATTTTTGTAGATATAATGTATATTACATTATTTTATTATGGCCGCCATATGGCAGCTTTTTGGCTTTCCACCATAACCCGCCATCCACCATAACATTGATGCACATTCAGTAAGACTCATAGTAAGCAATGTTATAAAGGTAAAAATTGGGAAACACATCATAAGTTGCACACTATAGGTATCTTGGATCCATTTTATAAAGTGATAGGGAGATTGATAGCGATGTCTCACAGATTTTTTTACACAAAAATTATGATAACAAAGTAAATATTAATGGAAACTCTACTAGAAAGCAAGAAGGCTAGCGATGCTCTGTGAGTGAATGTTTGAGAATGAAGTTCCAACTATAGCAAATGGTAAGTGTCCTGAAGATGAGAGAGTAGAGAACTAGAGATGACGAAGTAGACATACATGTACAAAAATAAAAAGATATATTAAATATGAAAGTTACAAAGAGAAAGTTAGAGTGGCATCTAATCCATTAAGAAGAAGATGGAAATATATTTACGCTGGTTTGGTCAAATGAAAGGAAGAATAACAATCCACCTACTAAATCGAAAATTTTCCAATTAAAAGTAGGGTAAGACCTAAGACATTAGGAGAAATCATTGAAAAGACCTGGCTCTTAACTTTTAGACTAAAGAGTAGGTTTTAGATTTTGCTCAATAGCATCAATTAATCTGTGAAGCCAAACTCACATAGTACAAATTATGAAAAGGCTTAAACATATTTTCAACATCTAGCAAATTTCTTGATGTGATTTCACAGAATTAAAGTTTTTGAGAACAAAATTTTCATTGTTGTGATGGTAATTTACCCCTTGCCAACAAATATGAAAAAGAAGGGGCAACCATAGTAGAGATATAAATTTATGTTTGAGGACCAGACTACTTCCACTAAAAACAAATTATTCACTTTTCATAACAAGCAAATGAAGTATTACTGACAACCCATGAATAAATATCAGTTATAAACATACTTACTCTATGCTTAGCTCAGAAATTTCACTATTTAGCATGTTTACGCGATTTAATTTCTCTGCAAACAAAGAGCATCATATGAGAAACATTTTATAGGGAAAAAGTTCCCTACACTTTTTTTGAGAACATAACATGGCATTAGGGGTAACACAATTACCAGGGCAAAGATGAATTCCACCATTTTCAAAGTCAACACGTAAGCTTCTTACTCCCCTTCGACCTTCCTCAGAAAGCATATGACACTCTTGCTCCGCTTTCTTCAACACATCATATAGGTCATGGTTTGTGTTCATATACTGTATAGCAAAGAGAGGAAATGCAATGTATTGGGATTAGACCCCCATGTAATTTTAGTCTTATCAGGTGTTAATATAATCCTGTCAACATCTTACTATAGAACTACATTGAAGAGTCCAAATTTTCAAAGATTAAATTTTACCACATGCTTTTTTCAAATCAAGGTTGATTTGCATTTAATCAAACACTAATGAACCCTAAATATGAAGTCTACACTCTACATCATATATCTGACTCTGTCTTGATTAAAAATTTAAATGTATAGGTTCAATTTAAAGTGCTCCAGCAGTTTTTATGGCCAGACACAACTAATTTCTCTTACCCCAGCATCCAACCAGTAATAAACTTGTTCTTAATGCCACGCTACTGCTTACATGGAAATCTTACATTAAATAAGCATTTGCTCCAACTTGATTGCCACAATTCATCCATCCAACACCCTAACCCTATGTCCAAGATAGAAATCATATTTCCATCCCATGTTGAATCGAACTTGCTTTTCCAGATCAATACAGACAATGCTTCCACTAAAGAAAGATGATTTCTTGCAAGAAAATATGACTTTCACATTATCAAGTCACACCTAGACCCTTTCACAGGATAAAATTTACACTTGAGAGTAGGATAAATATGCCTATAAGACAAAGTTTATCTTGTCAGTTAAACAAACACCAAAAAATAGTATAGGATAGAAAAAGTTATCCTATTGTGTTCCCCTACCATGTCCCCCAAAATAGACTCTTAATACTAAATACAACAACAGCATATGATCTTTCTTTTTCTAAGACTATGTTTTTTTATCACAAATCAATGATAAACAAAAAGAAAAACAAGCAGCAGCGAGCATCACTTGTATATATTCATTAATTCTTATCGCTGCCTCGCTGGCCTCCTCAACAAACTCCCTGATAGACCAAAACAAACATAACCAACCTCAACTTGCGTCAGAACAATTATCAATCAGATAGCCAAAGATTATATCAGTCACTTACTAATAATAACAATAAAGAAAAAGAAGAAGAGAACCTGATCGGATGAGTATTCCTACATAACTCAGCAGAGTCAACGACACTACACAGCTGACACATAGGAGAGAGAGAGAGTTAAGAGTGAACGCGTTGAAGATTTCGTAAAAGCAAAGCAATAATCATTATCATCCAAACATAACACTTACAGCGTCAGAAATCTCATCCATCGCTCGCATTATTTCAGGTGCCAGCGGTTTTGTGAAAATGTAACTCACAAGTTCCCCAGCTCTGGTAACAATGACAAAATTCAATTCAAAATAATCATAATCATGTTTCGTGAAAATGATACGTTACCTTTCAATGGCTTCGTCGACGAATGGTCGAAAGCCTTTAGCGGTCTTCAAATGGGGGAAACCATAGAGACCGGAGGGATTCGAGAAGCTTCGGACAGCTATAGGAACACGATTCCGTTTGTTCTGACGGTAAACCCGCGCAGCTTTGCACGCAACGCTCCACATTTTTTCTTTCTTTCTCTTACTGTTCAAAACACTGCAGCGCCTGCAGCTCGTTATATACACAAACCCGCAATGCAATAGACCCGACCCGGAACAGGAAATGCTAAGGTGTAGCGTGGTTCATGGTGTCACTATAGTGTGTGCCTCTTTTTAAAAAAAAAAAAAGATCTTGGGCTGTTTTTTATTTTTTTGTTTGGTGTTTTCCTAATTGAAATGTTATACTTGCATTAGTGAATTAATTATCTTGTGCAAGTCATTGGGCTAAGGATGAAGAGCTTTTATGGATGCAAAAGTCGGTGAAGTGGTTGAAGTGTGATGATAGAAATACTAAGTATTTTCATGAGACTACTATTGTGCAACGACATCATAACCATATTGAATTTTTGCAAGATGGTAATAGGGATTGGATCTCTGATCCCCAACTCTTTGAGGGTATGACTATTGCTTTTTATAAAAATCTTTACTTGAATGATTCTTATTTTGCGAATAGATGTCTTTTTAATTGTTTTCCTACTATTGATGTAGAGGATCTTAGTCATTTACTTTACTTGTTTTCTGATGATGAGATTAAAAGCACCCTCTTTGGTATGGATAGTCTTAAAGCCCCAGGTAAAGATGGTTTTCAGGCAATCTTCTATCAATCTCAATGGGAGATAGTGGGCCAGTCTCTCTGCTCCTTGTTTAAGCATATCTTCCACTCTCCTAGGGACATGAGAAAAATAAATGAAACTCTTTTAGTCCTTATTCCCAAAGTTGAGGCAGCTACTTCTCTGAAACAATTTCACCTCATAAGCTTGTGTAATGTACCCTATAAGGTTCTCACGAAGCTAATTGCGAACAGAATCAAGCCATTTATGCAACGCCTTGTTAGTCCTTGCCAATCAAGCTTTGTGTCTGGGAGAAATACCACGGATAATATTATTGTTGTGCAAGAGGTTATTTATAGTATGAAACAGAAAAGGGTTAAAAGAGGTTATATGGCGGTAAAAATTGACCTTGAAAATGCCTATGATAGACTTAAATGACATTTTTTTCAGGATACTCTTCTTGATATTGGTATCCCCCAATCCTTATGTGAAGTAATATAGTACTGTATTTCATCCTTAAATATACGGGTTCTTTGGAATGGGGAGGAATCTAAACCTTTTTATCCATCTAGGGGCATCAGACAAGGAGATCATATTTCTCCCTAGCTTTTTATTCTTTGCATGGAACGACTCTCTCATCTTATTTTCGCTGCTACTAATGAAGAGAGGTGGAAGCCTTCCCGTTCTCAAAGGACGGGCCTTATATCTCTCATTTATGTTTTGCAGATGATCTTGTTCTTTTTGCAAAAGTTAGCCTTGACCAAGCTCATGTTCTGATGGAGTGTATGAAGATTTTTTGTTCTAGCTCGGGTCAGAAAGTTAATCGGGACAAAACTACTGTCTATTTCTCTAACAATGTCTCTTGTTCTCTAAAGGATAATAACATCTGCAATATTCTGACTGTTGGGAGAACCACAGATTTTGGTAAATATCTCGCAACACAAATTGTTGATAAGAGGGTCTCCAATAACACGTATCGTCTTATTTTGGATAGAGCTACCTCCAGGCTTAGTTCTTGGAAGATTAATTCCATCTCCTTGGCAGGACGAGTCACTCTCACTCAGTCGATGCTACCTGGTATCCCTCAATATGCAATGCAGTCTTCTCTTCTCCCTATTATGGTTTGTGAGGACTTGGATAAGAACTGCACGTCTTTTATCTAGGGTACTACTCTCCAACATCTTAGAGTTCACCTTGTAGCTTGGGACAAGGTGTGCTCTCCTAAGACAAATGGTGGTTTGGGTTGAACACATGCCCGCCTCACAAATCATGCATATATGATGAAATTGGATTGGAAGTTGATCAAAGATAGGGAGAGTCTTTGGGTTCAAGTTATGCGGGCTAAATACAAGTGTGGTGATGACTTACTTCCACAAATTTGACACTTTAGAAATGAAATGTCTGCTTGGAAGGGTATAAATGCAGTTTGGAACCTTGTCCAGGAAAATACAGAGTGGTGGTGTCCAGAAAGTCCCTCTTGGAAGCCATCTTCAAATGGGTCCTTCTCCATCTCATCGGCATACTCTCTCTTATCAGGGTCTTCGCCTTCGGACCATTATAATAATCTCTTCAAGACGATTTGAAGCCTCTCATGTCCCCAACGCCTTCAGTCTTTCTTATGGCTCTTAGCTCATAATGCCTTATTAACAAATAGTCATCGAGTTCGAAGGAAAATGGCTGGTGATGACGTTTGTAGCTTCTATCTCTGCGCTTCTGAAACAGTACTCCATGTGGTCCGGGATTGCGATGTCGCAAAGAAAATTTGGTGTAAATTCTTTTCTGGTTCATTACGACCTTGTTTCTTCTCTAGCACTCTTCATGATTAGCTTAAGATGAATTTGTGTGGATCTCCGCCAGGAAAGTTTTGCAAGGATTGAACCCAGATTTTTACGGTGATAACTCAGTCTCTTTGGAAACACCGAAACAAAAGGTTATTCGACGACATGGCTTCTTCTACCAACACCCTATTTTATATGATTTTGTGACGGGTTGATGAAACTAAGCACAATTTCACTTTCCAACATAAGATTGTTTCCCTAGAGCTGAATAGAGGTAGTACTTCCCTTTGGATTGCTCCTCCTATTGGGTGGGTTAAGCTTAATGTGGATGTTGGCTTTGTGTCTTTAGAAAAGGCTTCTATTGCAAGAATTTTCCGTGACCCTTATAGCAGTTTTATGAGAGCTTTTGCTGATAAGATTGTTGCTCCGTCACCCATGGCCGCTGAACTTCTTGCTATCCTTATAGGCATAAACATGGTAAGGGATATTGGTTATAGGAACTTGATCATTGAATTTGATTGTAGGCGCTGTGTGGATTTAATTTTGTCAAATATTCCGGATTTGATGTTAGAACCAAAACTTCAACTGCTGGTGGATGACATCAAAGCTAAAATTAAATTAAACTGAAAAGTGATTATTAGTCATGTCGATCGCTTCTGCAACTCTTGTGCTGATACTTTACCTCGTTGTGCCTTAGAATTTCATAGTGGCATCCGAATCTTTTGTATTGTTCCGCATTATATTCTGTTGACGTTTGCAACGGATTTTCCTCATTTTAATGTGAGTTAGTTTTCTTTGGGGCCTTGTCCCGTTCATTCACCCAAAAAAAAAAAGGATGGAGAATTCGAATGCATTGTTATAAAATTTGGATTAATTATCAAATTCAGTTGAAAGATTGTGACCACTAATTAAACTCTTGAAGTATAAATTGATTGACCTGAAGTAAATATATAAAATAAATAAGTAATCTAAATGTATATATTTATTAATGTAAATTTAAAAGTTATTGATTTGCATAAAATGGGGGCAAAATAAAAAAATACTCTTTTACCGTCAAACATATGTTTAAACATTTATTATACCTACACACTTCTTGTTATGGGGATAGATCACGTTAATGGTAAATATTATAGGTTCTTATGCACTCATGTTTTGCTTTCTATCTTTTACTCTCTTCTCTAATTAATAAAGTAATGCTATGCTTTTTTTTTCAATTCCTATTTTGATTTTAGCTGCAACTTTAAGAAAACAAAAACAATCCAAACAAATATAATAAAACAAAACTTAAGAAAAATAACTTTCTAAAGTCTTAACTTACAATAAAACTAAAAAATTTAACATAACTTTGAATAGATAACAACTTCTACTCTTTTACATCAAACAGTGAGTAAGTCGTCAATGATGAATAATATTTATAAGTATTGGTTAGGACAGCTTCGACAGATCGCTTAGCCTCGTTCATCTTTGGCGCAAGAGCGCTCGATCAGTGAGCTACTACGCACTCTTTCAAAGGTGGCTGCTTCTACGCAAACCTCCTGACTGTCTCTGCACCCTTACCTCCTTTATCACTAAGCGATCATTTAGGGGCCATAGGTGGTGATTCGAGTTGTTTCCCTCTCGACGATGAAGCTTATCCCTCATCGTCTCACTGGTCAACCTTGACCCTTGTTATTTTGAGGTCATATTTAGTATTCAGAATTTGCCTCGATTTGGTACCGCTCTCGCAGCCCGCACTGAAACAGTGCTTTACTCCTAGATGTCCAGTCAACTGCTGCGCCTCAACGCATTTCAGGGAGAACCAGCTAGCTCTGGGTTCGAGTGGCATTTCACCCCTAACCACAACTCATCCGTTGATTCTTTAACATCAGTCGATTCGGACCTCCACTTAGTTTCACCCAAGCTTCATCCTGGTCATGGATAGATAACCCAGGTTCAGGTCCATAAGCAGTGACAATTGCCCTATGAAGACTCGCTTTTGTTACGGCTCTGGTGGTTTCCCTTAACCAAGCCACTGTCTATGAGTCGCCGACTCATTCTTCAATAGGCACGCGGCTAGAGTCTCGGACTGGGCTCCTCCCACTACTTGGGAGCTTACGGTTTCATGTTCTATTTCACTTTTCGATGGGGGTTCTTTTTACCCTTCCCTCACGGTACTCCTTCACTATCGATCACCCAAGAGTACTTTAAAGTGTCTCATTGATTCAACAATAACAAAGTCTAGTTTTTTTACTAAATTCAAACTAATTACATTTAGTTGTACTAATTTCATTTCATGTATAAAAGGATTTTAGTTCAGCTGCTCAATATTTAGTTCTTCCTTAAGTAGGGTCTTAAGTTCAAACTTTGTACGTAAAAAAATTGCTTCTGGGAGAGTTAATATTACATTTATATATAAGTTTTTAACTCAAATAAAATTATTTTTTGTAAAAAATATTTATGGTTTGACAAAAAAATATGTTTCATTGTAAATTTAAAGTGTTATTTTCAATTGTTTATTTGGTTGGTTCAATTGTCTAATAAATTGATTCAATTTTAGTTTTGTTTCTTAATTGATTGGATAATTTTAATATTATTGGTTTAATTCTTATCATCACCATTATATCAAAGAAAATGTGTTGTTCTTATATGATTTGATATCAGCTCTTTTTCTTTTTTTTTTACACTCATTAACTACATAAATAAAGGTCTAAATGAGTCAAAGTGAGTCAAGGTAAATGGTACACTTAAAGTTCAAAATTCACCTGTAAATTTTTATATTAATATTTAATAGTGTTTTATATTTTAAAAGGAAGGCTAGAAACACTCTAAAATATTCTTATTTATTAGTTAAAAATTATTAAAAAAATCCAAAATAAGTAAAAATAATTAAATTAAAAGTAAAAACTTATGTAATTTTTATTATTGTTAATACATGTTAGAAAGTATATTATTAGTATTTGTCATATTTCAATAGTGCAAAAGAAGAAAGATATCCCTCAATTATATCTTCAAGGAACAACTAAAACTAACTTTGAGGTGAGCTCTAAGACTGAGGAGAGAGCTTAATTGAACTTGCACTAGCTTTCATAAAATCCTTTGTATCCTGAAACTTTTGTAACTTCAAAAGTTCCTTTTAAACGTTTCAAGAACATTATCATCTCATCAATATTGTAAGCTTTTAAATTCCATTATTATTTTCTTTTCATTACAGTTTTCTTTTGACTATTATATCTTTACATCATGCTCTTAAATGTTGCACATCTCCTGTTATGATCAGATCTGCTCTGCTTTATAAACCATTCTTAGCCATCAGGATTCAAGGTTAATAGAAAATGCAATTAAAATACTCTCCACATCCTTTGGAATTGAATTGATTTTTAATCATAGCTTTTAGAATCTCCAAGAGAAACTACAGAGTATAGTTTTCTAGAAACTCACTCCAAAAGAAAATATAGTTCTGTCTTCCAAGGCAGCTCCAAAGCACGACCAAAGATCCTGAATTTGCCGATTGAATGGCATCCAGAAAGAGAAGACATTTCATGAGTTAGAGCTTGTTTAGAGAGATTTTAACAACCCCCCCCCCCTCCCAAAAAAAAAAAAAAAAAGGAAAAAACGTTCCTCCTGAAGGGGTGGGGGGTAGTCAGCAGTGAGTAAAAGAACAATCATATAGCAAAAATCTGAGTTACATTTGCCATTGAAAGAGCAAAACAAACAAATGTAATTCAATTTATTTTTCAAGCTGTAGTACAACATCAAAGCTGAATTTTTCTCCTCCCTCAAAAGTAGTCTCAAGATCTTCAAAGCTTTGCTCAACTCTCAGGTCCTTGCCAACTATCAAGCCCTCCTGCAAAACGAATTTTTCCCCAAAATCATTGGTATTAACAGAAAAAGCAAAGCAAGGATTTACAATTCCTACCTAATAAAAAAATATATATTAGAAAAAGAAAATCGTATATAATTTACAAATTTCAAGTTTAAAAATGATGGCAGTGTAGATTAGCATTGCATACTGCAAACAAAATTAAGAAATACTATATATAGCATATGGAAAAATACCTTCTCCACATATTCAGCTACAGTTGAGTTGATTATTTTCTTGATAACTTCCTTGAAAACTTTGGAAGGTCCAAGCACTTCTAGTAAAATATCTTTCGGTATCTGTTAAACAAAACATATAATACAACCATAATACTGAATAAATCTCCTTTATATCAAAGATTTCTGCAATTGAATTTGTACGCATTGATTTATATTTCATATTACACAAATAAGTACACATGAGTTGTTTGATATTAGCATGCCCTATTTGTCTTCTATCCCAAGCACCATCCTAAATGAATTCAGCTGGCTTGGACATACATTTTCTTAATCCCATTATAAATTATTATGGCATGCAACAGATTGTTTACATATCTGCTAAAACTTTAAAAGCAACAATGTGATTCCAAATGGGATAGAAAAATGGAAAGCACCACTTTATGGAAAATGGATAAAAGTATCAACTTACGCATCCAATACAAGAAAACAATTATGGATAAATAATCCAAAGAAATATAGGGAAAAAAGCCTCAGATTACTACTCAATTCTCATGAAAAATATGCAGAATCCAGGAGAGTGGATATTACAACCAATTTTATAGCCTCCCTAGCATTGATCAAGTTTCCGAAAGGAGAATATTTTCTTAATGAAACGAATCTTAAAATAGGAGTTTAATGCAACAAATGAGAAGGGATAAAAATGGAAAAACATGACCTCCCAAGAACATAATAATCATGACCAATTTTATATCTCACCGAAGAGAAGATAGAAGTCTCATTCCTTTAAGGACTGAAGGATAAACTCCACAATTTAGGTACCCAAAGATTAATTGTTTCACGCACCAGATTACATTAAGAAAAATATACTTTTTCTCAGGCAAAGAAAAGGTCCTATTAACCAAACACACAATCTCCAACATATCACAAAATGTCTTATAATTTTCTCATTTGTTTGACCCATCACATCCAGGCCTTTAGTGGCAACAGGAAAAACATTATCTATCTGCATTCCAATTCTACATCAGAAAACGTTGACAATAATAGCTAACAGAAACTTACATCTGGCGTTTTTCCTGATAGTCCTCAAATTGTTAGAGCAGCAATCGGCCATCAAAACAAACACAGGAAAAATGTCAATATTTATAGATATGATAAGAAAAATAAAGTTACAAAGAAAAAAGTTAAAGATGAGGAAGTTTGAAGAAAACCTTGTAGAGGAATCAGTGGATATTAATGGCAATCTCCATCTGTTTATCATGCTTATCATTATAGATTTTTCTTTACCGATTATTAATACAATTATTGTTGATCTGGTTGCATTACCTTTTTGTTCTACTCTTATTATATTTTTTATTACAAAATTAACAAGAAGCCTTATCCCATTAAGTGAGGTGGCTGCATGGATCACATGATGCCATTGAATTTGGTCAAAAACCAAACTTTCATAAGTCTAATTAATCAAAAAATTACTTTTAATAACTTTATCTAAGGTTCTTTTGAATCTCTCTCGACACTTTTTTACCCGACTAAAAGTTATGCAACCCACTCTCTTTACTGATACCTCCAAAAGTCTTCTCTACTCGTGACTAAACTACGTTAGACAGTTTTCAATCATCTACTCCATTATAAGTACTACTCCAATGTTCTCACATATATTATCAATTCATTTCTATCATTTTTCATGTGACCACTCATTCACGATAACATTCTCATTTTTGTCACTCTCACTTTTTTCTCATATTGTTCATTTAAGGCCAAGCTTGATAGGTACTTTTCTTATTATATTTTTTATTGCACTTAAAAAAAATACTCCAGCATATAATATTGACCAGTAGTTTTATGGTTTGTTGTTGAGCACTAAGAAGAGAGAAGACAAGTTTAAGAAACAAAGATGTAGTACGGTAACCCTAAAGGTATTCCCTTTAGCAAGTTACTTTCCTGGATAAACCTAGAGTAGTCTACTAAGTTGGGTACTGCCCAACTCACATAGAAAATAGAAATAGAATTCAAATATTATTCAGCAGCTGTCGATCAACTTTCCACAAATAGAAACTATTTTTACAAGTTAGACTAGATAAAACCCTTACAAAAATATAACAAATCTAAAATAACCCTAATTTACTTTAATAACAAAATCTAAAATAATATCATATTACTAAAAATAACAGAATCTAATATAATAAAAAATTACTAAAAATAAAAAAATCTAGATAATTCCAAATTACTAAAAGTGGCAAATCCAAGATAATCCAAAATCAAATTCCAAAATAAAAAACCATAATTAGAACATGAAATCCTAAGGGTCCTGTTGGGATGGTGGCAAGTTTTCAATTTTCCATTTTCAAAATCAAATGCCTTTTGACTAAAATGGAATTGAGTTAGTTTTTAAGGTAAAATCTACGGTACCTCTATAATTGAGAAGGTTTGATACTCTCTCTTACATGTGGAACAACATCATTATTAATTTTATATTAATGAATAGTAGAGTTAGTGGTTTAGTTGAAAAATATGTTAATATCCTCTAATTTTTAAGATATTAGAAGAATCACAACCATTAATCTAAAGAGAGTATAGAATATCTTTTCAAGTTTATGGGTACAGTAGCAAGCACCTAGTTTTTAACTCAATTTTGAAGCCAATTTAAGTCAATTTATAAAAAAAAAAAAAAAAAACATCATCATTATTGCCACCATCATCATTGCATTATTGCTACTACTCACCATTGTCACCACCCAAAATCACCACGACCACCATTATAAAGAATTGAAACAAAAATCATAAAAAACTGAAAAATGGTTTTAGTTTTTAAATAAATCTCAAATTAAAATTAAAAATCACCACAAACAGACCCTAAAATAAGATAACCCAATCTACATCAAGAACTATCTAGCTTGCCTTTCCATCATAGGATGATCAACCAACCCATTAATTATTAATTTATTTACTTGCTATCATCTTAGGAATAGATTGAAACTCATTGCACTTCAAATTCAAAGTTATTCCAATCTAAGTACCATGTTTTTCATGACAAGAAAGCGCATGCTTTCAGAACATAAATATAATGCCTGACAAAAAAAGTTATGATATACAGATTTTGTAAAGTAGAACTTCAAACTCTAAGAAAGACAAAAAGATGAAGTCTTGCACCCTCAAAATCCTTCAAACTCTAAAATATGAAATTATTATAATTATAATTTACAATGCAATTATAATTATCATTGTTACTGTAATTAATTTTATTAACATTATGGCTGTAATTAGATTGATTACAGCTTGATTGAACACACAATTAGCATAATTATTGATTGTATTCAGGAAATTTGGTTGATTGTAATTTATTGTATTTCCCTTTTTATATTTCATTTTAAGTTATATATAGATATACCATTTTATTGATTGACACAATAAAACATACACAATTTATTTTCTCTTCCTTTCTTCCCTCTTCTTATCATACAAGATCTACATGAAAAAGTATATGGCTTCTTATCTTCTCTTTCCCTATGGGAAAGGGATGTAATCATCGTAGTCTAACATAATTGTGCATAGAATATCATTAACTTAACTGGTTTTGAAACAAATTGAACATGACAATGACATAAGTTTTATTTGTTTAATCACCACCAAATCATGGTGATTAAATAATGAACCATTATATGAAAAATCTTATAATTATGCACCCCATGCATTCTTAACTTGAAGTAGCAGCAAAAAGTTCATTTTCTTTTTATAGCCTTCTTATACACAAATAAAACTACACCAGGTGCTCTTCAATTTTAAATCCACATAAATACTTCACCTCCTTTTACTCTTCGGAATCCTGGGATTGGTTGTGCTGCTGCAACCATTTTCTGAAAGACATCATCAAAGATCCTCTGAGTTTTGTTTCCGGATACCTCTATGCTTATCTTGAACAGAAAAGTTAAAAATTAGAGCATTCCAAATTCAAAATTGATGAGAAAATGGAAACCGTGAGTACTACACTACTACTAACATTGTTTTTTAAAACAATTCCACAGAAACATTATGTATGTTCCTCTGAACTCCGTCTTTTTGTCAAAAGACTTATCTCGATCCAAAGGGACATGTACATTTTTGTGAAAAACCAAGATCTTGTGTATGCTGATGCTCAGTATTGAATAGTGTAAATATCATGTATATATCATTAAAAGTTGGTTCTATTGCAGGTGTAGTTGTGCAAATAAAGCTGTTCAAACAGGACTACATAAGTGCAACTCACTTATGTATTCCAATTCCAGAAATTTCCTCTCTTATTATTTGCATGCTTTCTCCTCATACTTTTTGGTTGTATATGCACTCTTTGTCCTCTTACTACATGACAAGATAAACTCTGCCTAGTTAATCAAATGCATCTGCTGAGCTATCATCATCTTAACCCTTCAATAAAAAAAAAAAAAAAACCTACCATTCTTATTCACCAGACACCAACTTGAAAGTGCCTATTTCACTTACGTAAATGTTACTTTCTTCGAAACCACCCCATTCAATCTCCTACATCTGGCTGTATTGATGTTCCTGTGAGCCCCTACAACTCTATAAGTGTCCCTACTGACTCACCCTTCTGCTTTGGTGCCCTTCCTTACCTACTGTGAATCAAGTCTTTTCTTATAGTCTACTCATCGATGTCAGGATTCAGGAAAGGCATTCATTTGAACCCCCACCCCACCTTATTAATAATTTTCTGAGCTATCGTTGTTTATCTCCTCCATATTATGCATTTGTTTTTACCTTTGCCACTCTTCTACAGATTTTTTCTCTTCCTCTTTTATTACTTTATTATTTACATGTATTTCAATTAAATATTATATGATACCTTTAGTTCTCTAGCATTATTTGTGTCAGCAACAGCGACGGAGAACTCGTCAAAATGATTAGAAGAAATTTGGGCATCTACAACAAGCAAATCAAAGCCCAATATAAATTATTAAAATATAAATCATGATTTATGATTCCAGTAAGCATACAGCCAGAAAAGAAAAAGTAGCACCTGATAATACACCAGCAGTAGGAAGACATTTAATGCGTTCCCTGTAATAATCACATGGACGGCACTGTAAGAAAATTAGTTGCACTGACACAATCAAGGAATGACTGGACCATAATAGTTTGGACAAATTCTACAAAAAAATTCTCTCAAGATGGGTGATGTTTATTTCAGTAAACACTAAACAGAGAACATTGATATACTATAACTAAGTGTAAATATTGCAGAGCTCAAGCTTTGTAGTTGAATTATGTGAGAAAGTTAAATGGCTCTGTTCTGTAATGTTATACAGTATATGCCCAAACAACTATCACCATGCAACTTGAAATGAAATTCAGAAAGCAGCAGTTCCTTTTTAAAATCTTTCCTGCGCCATGTCTAAGCTTCCATGAAAGACAGAAATGTCTACTATTCGGGCTAGACACAACAAACTCGTCTACTCTCCGCTTGAATCTGGTTATCTGAAAACAAAATTTTATGTTACTAAGAGCAAGTAACAAAGTACCATTACTGGCTTCTTTCAATATAGAAATAATATGAAGTTTAAAAAAGAAAAAGAAAATGAGAAAAGGATGAACCTGTGGACTTAAATTTAAGATGAAGGTTTGGGATGCGGTCTGCATTCTTTCTTCTAATTTTCACCACAGTTTTCTCTGACTAGAATCCAGTCTTTTTCTTTGGCCAAGAGGAAAGCCTCTTTCTGTTTCTTCCTGTGACATCCACCCCCAAATAGAGGGTGATTCAGAAGAATATTAAAGAAGCACCACAGTTCTAGGAACCTGCAAAATCTTTTACCATTTTTTGGATAAAGATGCACCTCATAAGATAACATGTCATGTAGTCATACTGCTTATATAAAATCAACCATCAAACAACTTGGTACAACTGCACACTCACATAACGATCCCAATTTGTGAAAATTCTAAAGAAGTATTTATAGGAGAAGAAAATAAAGCAGAAAATCGAATAAAACTTCCCTCATAATTAAAAATCAACTTATGCATCATAAGTTTTGGAGAAGCTAAAGGAAAGAACTTCAATAAGCATAAATTGATTTTAATTTATAAAAAAAAATTAATTTATTTTACTTCCTTATTTTTGTCTCCTACAAGTATTTATTGAAATTTAATTCAAACTGAGTCTAAAGGAATATACTATCAAATGAGAGAATCATTCCCACTAACCATTGCAATGCAATGATATTAAATCGAATATAACTAAACATAAGCAAAGCAATTTCAAATCTTCAACTTACAACCATTAATGCCTTTAATAAGATCCATATTTATAAGCCTAAATAAAGAAGCATTAGCCATTGTTAAAAGAAGAATGCTAGCCATACATTCTTTAAAATATACTATTTAATGCATGTCTTATGATTGTTCATTTTTGAAAAGTCAAAACAATTTTTAAATATTAATGGATGCAAGTGTTTTGACTTGTTAAAAATGGATCAATCATATAACAAGCGTATTGATAACCGGGTTCAAAAGAATATATTGCATTTCTTACTATTAGAATGCACAATCCAATATAAGAGAAATGTTAGGAATACACTTTCGAATACTCTCTTTGCAACACTTTTTTCTATTATCATGCAAAATCTATATAAAGAGTGGGCACAAATTATTTAGTTGAGCCCATATAAAATTTTGCCAAATAGTAAATGAAGTGTTGAAAAGAGAGTATGAAATATTATGTTGCTGCCATTCTTCACCAACATAATCTAATTACACATATTCGTGTTAACACTACTCACACAATTAAATAAACAAATAAGCTGAATCCATCATAATTTTAGATAAATAATTACGTACTTAAAAAAAAAAGTTCTCGTGAAACTGGCGAAATTAACAATTATTTCTTCAAAAAACGTTGCACCAAATACGCATTTACACTGTACAATAACAGAAAAACTGAGCATACCCGTCTTTCTTTCTTTCTTATTGAAGTTCTAAGCCACCAAAATGAGACTTCACGTCACACCGAACCCAATAGCATAATTTCAATTCGAAGATTCCACTTTCTTACACACACACACATCTGTCTCAGTTTCATTGAATTTAAGAGTGTGTTTGCTGCTTGAGGGCAGTTGAATGAAGAAATAGAAAAGGAAAGAAGAAAGGTATTCACCTGTTGCTTTGGAGGGATCTACTCACTTCACTCAGCGAGACTATGCTGCTGGCACTGGCTTATCTCAGTTTCCTAATTCGTATTCCGAAGTTTATATTTAAACTGCGTTTGTTTTTTTGTTGTTTATTACACAACATTTGTACGGAGAAAGAAAACGTGTTATGTGGAGAGGTTCTATTCCCTCTTGTATCCTTTTGGCATTTATATTTTTACGAAATATTAAAGATTCAAATATGTTTTTAGATTTTATTATTTTGTAAAATTTTTATTTTCTAATTTATAAAATTAGCACTTTTAATCTTGACTGATAATGTGTGATAATAATAAAAATATATAACATAAAATCTGAAATATAGTAACCTCTTAATTATTTACTATTTTTGGGAATTAAAATGTAAAATTTCAAAAAAAAAATTAAAAAAAAAATGAAAATTTTACAAAAAGTTAAAATTAAAAATATATTAATTTTAATTTTTTCTTAATTATAATGTAATTTTTTAAAATTTAACGTTTTTTATTTTTAGTGATAATGTGAGTAACTATGGGATTCTATATTTCCATATTTTGTTAGGACACATTATTTTTAAGGTTGAAAGCATATTTTTCTTAAAGTAAAAACTAAAATAAAAAATTATTTAAACTTTTGAAAATAATATCTATTATCATTTACTAATGACATGATATGTATTTAAACGTATTACATTATTTACAATTTCAAAGGTCAATTATATGTATATCATACCATTACAAAGTGATAATGAAAACTATTTTCAAAAATTACAAAATAAATGATTAAATATGTTCATAGCGTTGATGAGGTAATTGATTTGACATGTGGTTTCTTCTCTAATTTTATATCAAGATTTTATATTGAAATTGATCCACATTAGTAGGCTTAGGTGGTTTGTTTAGAAACTACATTCACTTTAGCTTCATTTCTCATTCTCTTGAAGTCAAACTCGAACGCATGTTATTCTAGGTAACGATGCGTACTGCACAACCATTATCTTGCACCAACACTTGAATCCTGTAAGCCTCACACATCGCTTGTATGTTATGCACCAGTTTTGCTATGGCAACCCCACCTCCTTTGATCAATGAGATTTCAAATTCCTAATGTTTGAAAAGATAATGATAAAAAGAAAGAAAGAAAAATTATTATTAAGGAGAATGATTGTGAAATCTAAAAGGCATGGATGAATTTACTGAGAGGATAATTGTGATTTGTAACGATAGTAATTTTGACAATGGTATTTAAAAGGACTAAATTGATGAACGGAGACAAATATCAAGATTTATGAAAGACATTTAAAATCTTAGAGATAAAAATGTTTAACACTAACAATTTAGAAATTAAATAAAGAGTTTACTCATGAAATAAGATTATTTTGGCCACATCAACTATATTAAGTATCACTTAACACAACTTAACAAATGTTAACATTATTATGACAAAATGTTAGATTGAACTAAAGCGTCCAACATTTAACGAAACTGAACAAAATTGAGATCAACAAACTCATTTTAAAATATGCAAATCACTTTACCCAACATATTCAATACCAAAAGCCATTTTGAGTATTTACTCCACAGAGCACCTTGAATTTGTAATACAATTTTCCTACACTCCATCTATTTGCAATAACGTACTATTTTGTTAAGATTGGTTTTGATATCTCACTTAATCCTTTCTCACGCACTCACAAAAGAGAACACACTTTCACAATCCCTTAGTAAAACTCAATTCATTGAAAACATCATGTTATTTCATTACAGTATTATATACAACATATTCACATGAAAGACCTGTTTGTTTTAGCTTTTGAAAAGAATAAATTTTAAGATATATAAAAAATAATTTATTTCTAAGTATATTTAAAAATTAGATAATGCTTTTTTCTCATTACAATTCTAATAAGTATTTTTTATTTGAGTGAAAAAGTATAATTTCAACGTTTTCATAGAAGCTAAAACAACTCTAAAAAAGCTAAAATCAAATTATTTTCAGCTTCAAATTTCTTCATAATCTTAACTAAAAAGTGATTATATTTTAAAAAAAAACCCTTTTTTTTCATGAAAAAGGCTCCTAAATCCTGATCATTATGAGAATCATTATTCGGAATGTGTAGGCTGTGTAGCTGGACCTGTGATAAGTCCCGCGCTTGCATTATGCGTAGAAATTAGCGAAAGCAAACCTAAGGACAAGCACATTCAATTTGAAAATATCACTGCTTGATCCATAATTATTGAGTAAAGTCGTTGATGAATCAACATGCATTAGCATTCTATGAATAGAAAAAAGTATGTTATCTTTTCCACTCCAGCAAGAGTTACAAAACAATCTCTTGCACCAATTTTGATTTGCAAGTGAAGTTAAAAGTATGGAAAAATGAAATAAGCTACAAGGAACCGTTGTCGCTAATTCCAAAGGAAGCTTTCAACTTGTTGGTAAGATGTGGCAGCATCTTGACGGTTTCCTGAATTGACTGGTCAACACAGGAAAGCATATCATTCACGGCCCCAGTTTTCTTCTGGAGCTTAGCTGCCTCATACTTATCTTGACACACCATCAGAGATCTGTTCATCCTCTCCTGCACCATGTTGAAATTACTGTTAAACTAAAGGGAAAGAAGGTATTACAAGTCAAATTGCTTCTATGTCAGATACCAAATTAATACAAAAAATGAGTCTCGACATCTTTTCTGCTCCCAAACACATTAAACCTCATTGTCAAAAAGGCTTCCAAAGAGTGACAAACCCAATTTCTCCATATATAACACACAATCTAGTCCACAATAAACTAGCATACGGACAATGTAAAAACAATGAGTGACCAATTTTATGGTGTTAATTTCAATCCCAGTCCCTGATAATTCATAAGTCCTCCAACCATATTTCTATAAGCATTTATAGTTAGTTGTTTCATAGGCTTAGTATTAGCCATTAAGGAGTCACTTTCCCTTTTCTCCAAAAGCATCTTGGTCCCCTTTTTTGTAAATCGTGTTCTTTATCATTAAAGAAGTGAAAGAACTCAAAAATTCATCAACCGGGCAACAAACCTCAACTCCCAAGACGGATAAACAATTTCCAAAGATGACAACTATTAAGATTTCCCACATTAGGTAGGAATATCACTAAAATGCTTCTTATAAAGCTTGCCTGAGCCAGCGGGCAACAAACCTCAACTCCCAAGACGGATAAACAATCTCCAAATATGACAACTATTAAGATTTCCCAAATTAGTTAGGAATATCACTAAAACACTTCTTATAAAGCTTGGCCCAGCTTTTAGGAGTCAACTAGACAACTGCTAGAAAATTGCAAAGAAAGAACCAAATTTGGAATGGACAGAAACTCGGAAATGTAAGTTGCAACAACCAATACCTTAAGAAAAGGCAATAGAAAAGGCTGGTGGCCAAAGTATACAGGAACAAAAAGGGAAGAGTATAAAATTGTATATGGTCAATCAGTCACTTCGAATCAATCCCCAATGAATTATCCTTAATTCTAGGATCAAGGACTCTTTCAATCATAAAAAATTTTCCACAATAATTTTATACACACTTAACAATTTTAAATGAGTACTAATTGATACTAAAATTAAGGGAGAAACAATATCACAGTATTACAGGGTAGCTTACCTGAAACTTTGCCATCTCATTTTCAAACGTCTGTTGCACATTAGCAAGAGGAATACTGCAATTTTCAACACAATTGCTTATCTCATTCTGCCCTTTGCTTCTATCGAAGCACTCATATGCACATTTAAAATAGGCTTTCTGCAGTTATTCAATCAAATAATCAACTATATGGAATTGAAAGTCTGCTTCTTCACGAAAAGAAATTACCACATATTCCCATTGCATACAAAAGTAACATTGATCTACAGTAAATCCAATTGGTATGGAAAGCCGAAAAGTTAAATACCAAGAAAAATAAAATCCATGTCATGTAATAGTTTGCATTTATGACTTATAGGAACAAAAGAACATCATTAGTACAATAAGTTGAACTAAAATCAGAAACGAAGAAATAATGTGAGACAAAATATCACAGCCAAATGAGATAAAATCACACAAACTTTCTGAGTCCTAATTCTCATATAGTTTTTTGCCACTGAAGTGCTTGTTATAGAAAAGGACTGGAAAGAACCTGAAGAGTAAAATTGACATGGTCTTGGATGGGGGCAAGATTAGTTTGAGCAGCTAAATTCACTTCATCAAGCTTCTGCCTCAGTCTCTGCGAAGCAAATTGCTCTTCAGCTGTGGCATTGTGATCCATCTGACACTAACTGTAAATAATGAGAACTGCACCCTTAGTTGAGAATAAAAAGAAGAACTACTGATATGGTTTACTATCTTCTTAATAAGGTTGCAGACTATAAGTTTTTGTCCAGTTGATTTTATCATGAATATACACTAATACCCAAAACTAGGCTCTTACACGTCATAAGAAATATCATAAATTTATCTTTATTAATTGGATTGTGATATGTAAATTTACTAAAATTTGTTTTTCTTCCGCGATATAAACCAAGAGAAAGGTCTAGTTTTATCTGAAAAATATGTCAATATGTGATTGAAAAGTGAAAAATCATCAGGAACTATAACACATTAGAAAACCAAAAAGCAGCCACTGCAACAAGAAATCTAGGGGTTCACAAGCTCAATTGCTTCCCAGATTAAACAAAGTCGAACTAGATACTGTTCTTTTTCCCATTCTCTTATGTTTCCACAATGAGGATTTCACATAACAAAGATTCAATTAGACAAAAGAAAAGGGGATTTGAAACAAAAAAAGGAAAGAAGCGAGGATTTCGCAACTGAAAAATCATCTTACCCATTCACGATTAATAAAGAAAAAAAAAAACAGAAAATATAGAAAGGGAAAAAGGAAAAAAAAGCACAAACATTGGGATTTTTTTTTTTTTAATCAAATTTTGGGGCAAACAAGAAATCAACGAAACTAGCATCAGACAGTGTTGATCCCCATTTTTAGGGGCACACAACATTTCTCTAAATAAAAAAGATGAAACATGCAATCAAAATAAATAAATATAACCCAATTTTAAGTAAAAGTAGTAACAATAATAATTAAAAAATGAAGCGCAACATGAATGTGGACCTGCAAATGGTGTGTGCAATTGTTGCAAATATGTGATATGAAATTCTCTTTGAAAACTCTCAGTTTATAGTTGCGGTTGAAACGCTGCTGCGCCCTCTTCCTGCTCCTCTACGATACCGGCTGAAAGGGTTTAAACCTTTAAACCCTTCAAGTTTTTCTTTCCTCTACTTTCAACAAAGAAGGGTACTCAATCAACAGCGTCATTCCAAAAATAATAAAGTATTCAATAAAATAATAATAACATTCTTTTTACTTCAATACAAAAATATTACCAAATTAAAATAAAATTTTAAGTATAACTAAATATTAAATATTTTAGCACTATATTAATATAATATTAAATATAGCATTTGTAAATATATATTAACATATAAATTTTTTTATACAATATAAAGTTCATACAGTTTAAAAACTAAATAGATAAAATTTATATAAAAATAAAATTAACAAGCATTTTACTGTCTTACTTTACTTTAACGTATATATTATTAAAATATTAACAATTATAAATTATGAAATAATATACATAAGTATTTAAATTTTATAAAAGCTAATAATATTTTTTTACACTATATGAATATTATTAAATTATTTTTAATAATTTTTTAAAAATATATTAGATGAATATTTTAAAATTTTATAAATCTTGAAAAAATATAAATGCTATAATTATAAATATTATTATTTTATTATTTTTAAATAAAATTAAAAAATTATAAGATATTCAAAATTTAACTCAATATAAAATAAAAAATGAATATATAATTTTAAAAAAAATTACTTAGCATTAGGAAGAAAAAATTAATATAAAAATATTTCATTTTATAATTTTCTTAAAAAGTGCACCGGTTGAAGATTATTCATAAAAATACTCTAATTCAAAAGTAGTAATCGCAATTCTTATTTAGAAATTGAATATTATTACATTAAAATAATAAAAATATAAAAATTCACTTTTTTAACTTAGTTCAATATTTTTATACAATAAATAATAAATTATAAAAAATCATAATATTTAGAACTATATTTATTATATTTTTAAATAAAGCATTACTATAGTGTTTAATGTTAATTTAAATACTATATATTAAATATTTTAACATTACTTTTATATAGTATTGAACATAGCATTATTACATATTGATGAAACATTTAATGGTTGAATAATATGTAGTATTTAATATTCAAAAAGGAAGATATTATCTTTTAAGAGTAATGTTATTTTAATATTTAATATATAAATTAAAAAGTAATTATGTTATAATTATATAAAATGTCTGGTATAAACATTCTAATTAGATATTAAAATAAAATTAACTTTTAATATATTTTATTAATTAAAATTTTAATTGAGAAAATAATAATTACTAATTAAAATTACTTTTCCTTAAATAACTTTATTAATCGAAGTTATTATTATTTTTCTTTAATTAGCACGTATGCATGCGTTATAATTCTAATATATTTTAATTTTAAAATTTTATAATAAGTTGTTTTATAAAATTTTTATATATTATATTAATCACTTAATACAGTGATAAAGAATAAATTTAAAAAAATATTATATTTTTAAATACTCTTTAAAATACTTTCATTTAAAAATATGTATTAAAAAATAGTTAAAATTTATTAACATCGTGTATTAAAGTTAAAAATTTACATCACTTATATAGAATTCTCTGAAAAGGTTAACATATATTATGTTTTGTTAATATCATATCAATTTTATCACCACCTCTAAGATTACGTTTCTTTGTTTTTTTGTTTCGTGGTGAAAGAAAGTCTTCTTGTCCTTTTTTCTTATAGCGGCAAAGTGATGTAGAAACAAAAAAAGGATGATCTTCTTTGTCTCTTTTCTGTTGTGTATCTAATTGCAACATGGATTCCTTGTCCCTGGAGAAACACTAAGGAGATTAATCTAATAGTCTGAAGCACCAAGAAGGTGAAGATGGACCCAGAACTAACCATAAAGGACCAGAGTTCCTACATGTAAGAAGATAAAACCTTTGAGGCTCCCACAAACTAGGTGTTTTTAACCTTAACTCTCCTTAATGCATGTCTTATAAAGATAAGGTTCTTTCTGTGAATAACTTGGATCTAGTATTAGATGATGACGAAATTGTTCAAATAGTGTTGGGGGAACTTAATATTCCCCGAGAATCGGAGGAATCTAAACCTAAGAAAATGGCTGACATTAACAATATTCAAAACTTATGTCGCTTAGGATTCTCCTAGAAGACTATGAATCTTGGTGTAATCCATGGAAACTAACTCAAATCGTTAAACTTTTGAGTAATTCGATAAGCTTCAGCTTTATTAATTAAAAGTTAAATAATATTTGGGGGAAAGTAGTCTTAAAATTCTTGATTTGAGTAAAGATTTCTTTCTTGTTAAATTTGATAACTTAGACGACTATAAAGCTGCTTTATTTGAAGGTTCCTGCCTTATTTTGGACCACTATCTCCTTGTTTAGCATTAGAGACCTTTGTTTAGACCTAAGAAATATAGTCTTAGGAAAATAACTGTTAGGTTAGAATCCCTGATCTCCTCCTTGAGTTGTACAATAGGAAATTTCTCTGGCAAGTAGATTCCTGCCTGGGGACAATGCACAAAATTGATCCCATACTTCATTGTTATCTAGAGGAAAATTTGCTAGAATTTGTATTGAACTAGATTTAAATAAGAAACTAATTCCCTCCTTCAAAGTTTTGGGCCAAGAATTTAAGGTAGAATATGAAGGTCTTTATCTAATTTGGTTTCAATATGGTAAATATGGCCATAGGATGGAATATTGTCTAGATAAGATTACAGCCCCTAAGGATAAGCTTAGCCAGAATTCTAATTCTTGCTTCCCTATGATGGATAAGGAGGAGGTAACTAGTAAACTAGCGAATCCCTCCTTCAAATCTAGAGCTAGAATTCTAATTTCTGCTTCCCTACTGATCTATCTATTAATTTAACTCTTTCCCGAGGCTCTGTCATTCTGGTTTCCTGAAAATATTAGTAAGGATGAGCTTCTATTTTATCCTTTTTCCAAACATTATATCACAAAATCATAAATTATAGTATAAATGCAATATATTCATTTTTCACACTAAATTCACTTTTCAAACATATTCACACATACATATCATTCACAATTTATTATTCATTCTCTCAGTCCAATACGCACTCCCAATATACTATGATCACATATATCGATGTCTCTAGTATTTCTTGAGGTCTTAATCAATTAGGTAAATAGTTGTCAGTTAGCCCATGCAGGTGGATACAACAGGTACAATAATCGCGCCCCTTAACAAAGACACAGTCAGGAAACGAATGTGAGGCCATATGACGCATTCGTTCTCCAAAAAGTGTGTAACATATGCGAATGTCATTCACCATCCTACGTTTCTCCTAGATTTTCATCGTTTTCGGACTTTATACCCCTAGTGTATCTCTGTAACTATTCACACTATATTCAATTCATATTCGACTTTCAAAGTCATTCTCAGAGTTATCCATTTTTCCACTCATAAAATTATGCTTAGTAAAACACTTCCAGACTAAGTTTGTAACACCTTAATTTAATTTTAAATAATTAAACTTCATAAAATGAAAGAAATAAAAATCTTCATTCAAGTGGCTTCCAAAGACATAGTTCCCCTTAGCCTATCTATACTAAAGTCAGGGGCCTTTTCTTGCTCGTTAGCGCTGTTTTTTGATTGCAGGGCGCTAGCTTACTAATAAAGAATATATATAGGGCTTTTTTCTTTCATCTTTCAGCTTGATCGGAATCGATTCTATGATTGAATAGCAGAAGTGCTACTTATTAGTAGTAGAAACTCGGAGAGACAGACAGAGAGGCAATCATACCTGCTAACTCCTAGGATGAGAAGTATTTAAAATATTTCAAATAAAGATGATATACAATTTGCATCAAGTCATTGCTACAGAACTAATTTAATTACATCAAAGTTCTCAAAATAAATTTCTAGTCCTATAGCAGTCTTATCCATCCCTTTACTAAACCTGGTGTTGATAGTCTTGATCACCTGAAAAATAAATGTAAAGATGAGTATTCTACACTATCACACACAAGTACAGAGACTCACCTTCGTATATTATACGCTACCAAATTCAAATCATGTATCAATTAACACATTCATCACTTTTAAGCATTTCATACCAATCTACATACATGTGCGCTCATTGCATCATCAAATAATCCACACACACGTGCACTCACTGCACGTAGCCACACTCATTATGGCATTGTGATCACAGTTTCTCACCATAGATGGTCACCGGTTAGCCCCGCCTCACGAATACAATATGTGTGGTCACGAGCCCCTCGGTAAAGGTGTTAGTCAGAGGCCGAGTTAGGAGGAGAGTGTAACCTGTGGTGCACCCACACTCACTATTGATGTCACCACCACCCTCTCTTTCCAAAGTATTTCTACTGCCCCCATCTTCCACACTCTAGTATATCGCTGAACCATTCATAGCTTCTAATATATTCACAATCGCATTTAACATGCCATTTACACACATTTTAGCCACATTTTCAATCACAAATAGAATTCATGTTCACATACACAGCACATATGCCCTCATTCATTCACGTTTCATTCGAACGTAAGCACTTCCATCACAATTTCAAGTACGAGCAAACCACTCTCAACACACACATTATTCAATATCAACTACATTATAGCCAACCACATAATTTCCATCATGCACACTATTCAATATCCATTACACTATATTGTACACAATCTTTCTACCACAATCTCACATTCTAACTATCCACACTACAATACATAACAAAATAACAAATTTAAAGACACAAGAGATAGGATAGAGTCTCCTTTTACCTTAGAATGAAGACCCACACACAAAATCAACAAGGAACGTGCTCCACACATGAGTTTCATCCTAAATACATGGAAAAATCCCATGAGAACCAAGGAAATATGACAAAACAGAGAATGAGGACGAGAAACAAAAACCCTAACTATTAAAACTTACCTCCAAACGCCCTAAACTCGATTCCAACTTCCAATCTAGCTTCAAAACGACTTTGAAGGTAATTTAATTGGTAAAATAGGATTTTAAGTTGAGAGAATCGAAAAGATTTTGAATGGAAAAATGA